CCGTCATCTGTCTGAGCCTTGGTGTTCTCACAGCACTGTGCTCTTCAGTTAAATCCCTACATTTACATCTCCTGAACTCGAAACCGTTGCTTCAGGTTGTATGAACTACCCAATGCAATGCAATCAGCTCTCTTATTTTAACCTTTTACGTTAGTTTGTACATGAATTTGTACAATTTGCATTTGCAGGCTGCCACTCTGGGCAAGGGTACTACAGCCTGGCCGAAGACAGCACAGGCACACAGATCCCAGCCGTCTGGCTGGGATCATAACCCCCGCTGCATTTTCAGCTAGTGAATATTTAATTAGCGAGTATTGAACACTTCTTTGTGGTGATGGTCCCAGATAAGAGGCGGCATACTTTTTCGGGCATGAATGTAGGTCAGGTGCCGTTGCCCTCGCCGCTGTGCTGGAGCCGGAGGGGGCTGGCACAGCGCGGTCGGGGCACGTGCCCTGCACGCTCCCTGCACGCTCCCCTTGGCCCTGTGTGGTGCTGTGAGGTTGATCTGCACCCATCCTACCCCCAGCCATCCTACCCCGAGCAGCACCACGCTCTGGCCGTGCCTTTCCAGCAGTCCTCTTCTCATTTCCTCGTTCAGGTCGGAGCTTGCCATAAAGCGACGTGCCGGTCTGATTGCCCCGGCGAGGGCGGTGATGGTTTCACCATACAGGTGTTGTGGTTTGTGTGTTGTTTTTTTTTTTTTTTTCACTCCCTCAGCTGGGCTCAGCCCTTTCCCGAGCTGGGTGAGCCCTGTGAGCACTCTGACAGCCCAGCTCTACCTGTGCCAGCATCCCCGCTCCCGCCTGGGAAGGCTTCACAGCCCGTGTGCTTTGTAGTGCCACTTTGTACTGAGGAAACTCTGACCTCTTTTTGCTCAGTTTCAAATGCTTCCTGAGCTGCGAAGTAGATATAATTCATTTTTCTTTCCATGTTCTGCTTTTTAACAGATTTGGTTTTGATTTCAGAAAAGCTTAGTTAAAAAGCAAGAATCTCCTAATGCGAATTCATTTTTCGGCTTCATCACAAGCAGTTATTAATTACCATTCTTGACTTTTTTCCTTACTTTTTGTTCTTAATCTCATCTCCTCCTTATCTTTCTCATGCAACATATTCACATACAAAGATTATTTCCCAAGTCCCTTCTATCTGTATTCATTCATTTCTCAGCGCACGAGTGCTGGAGCTGAAAGGTAGAGAACAGGGAGTGGATTGCTCAGGGGTGGGAGGGCAGAAGGGAGCCCAGGAGAAGGGCAGTGGTAGAAGTCTTATTTTTGACTGTCTCTGACTGTGAGGAGGAGTCACCATGTACCAGCTGCGGTCCCGGTTAGAGGATCTGGAGCCCACGGGGATAGCAGCTGGGCAGAGCAGGACACAAGGACAAAGCTGAGCTCGGAGGGCTGAGATTTTAAGGGAAAGCCAAGCGTCTTTGCTGTAAGTTAACTCAGTGATTTGAAGAGGAACAGAATATTGGCCTGAGCTTGCCTGGAGGGAAGCACCAACTTGTGAAAGCTCCCGAGCTCTTTCTTGCAGTGCTTCCAGGCTGGTTCTGGAGGTGCTTTAACAGCAGGTTTGTGCCCCAGGTGCTGCCCCTCTTTAGCAAGGGCACAGGGTGGACAACCTGCTGCGTGGCAGGATTTGGGGAGTGCCGTGTCCTCGGTGAGGCATGTGGGATGTGAGCTGCGGGCTGGCTGTGGTCCAGTCAGCCCCAGGGACCTTCAGGTGTCCTCTGTGCCCCAGGTTTGTTTGGTTGGCAGCTCTTGGCTGGGTCAGCGCCAGCGGGGTACCTGGGGTGGGTTGGCAGTAGGTGAACTTGTCAATTCCTCTTGTTCAGGAAAAAAAAACCAACTCGTATCACTGAGGTTTAAAGGAAAAAAGCTGGGTGCCGGCCCTCCCCAGGGCTTCCAGCCCCACCTGGAAGGGGGTAGGGAGCTTTCCTGTGATGGTTTGCAAGCACTGCCAGCCTGTGGGTGTGCTCGGGGTGTTTTGTGCCCCCACTCCAGCGAGGTGAGCGGATTTAGGTGAGTGGATTCACGCGCGGCAGCTCGAGGTGGCGCAGCCAGAGCGCTGATCGGCCAGGCTTGATTTTTGTCACTATTTAATGATGTGGGTATTTGAGAGGGAGGAGGATTGCTGAGAGACAGTCGAGGGCTTATCGTATGTGTACGATAATAAAGCCATTTAGACGGGTGAGCTTTCTTTGCTTGATGCTTGTTACATATTTGTCTTGCGATGCTGCTCTCACAAAATCCTGCCGTAAGCTGGCGCTCGGCTTCGCTCCGTGACTTGCAAAGGCTGCTGTGTGACACTAATTCAGGAGGTGGCTGTTGAAGCAAGGAGCACTTGTGTCCTGCTGCTGAGCCTTGCTTGTGTCCCTTCCTCAGGGATCGGTGCTTGTTTGGGGTCCTGGCTGGCGGGGAGGGCTTGGTTAGAAAATCAGCCGCAAGATGGGTTCTTGGTCTCGCCAAAAATAGCACAGGGTGCTCTGAAATACCTGCCTATAATCTGGAGTTTAGGCTATGGCTCGTCTCAGTCGAGCAGCAAATGAACTCCAGGCAGCTGATAAGAAGGCAGCAGTGGCTCCCTGCAGTACAGACTGTGCTCACAGGTGGGGTTGGGGCCGTTTTGGGCCCTTCCTCGCTAGCCTGGACTCGGGCACTGAAGGCACCCAGAGGAGGGATCTCTGCAGGACCTACCCGCTGTGCAGTGCCTCGCTCAGTTTTGCTGTTATTTAAACACTTAAACATTTCATAGGCTCTGTGCAATAACATTCAGTGCCCTGGCCGCATACGGGGACTGCATCTGAAGTTTGGCATTTTGGTGCTGTGTTCAGAAACGTGGGGCTCTCCCTGCTTCACGTCAGTCATCATTGCTGCAGGGCTGAAGCTTTTGCAGTCAGGATTTATTCAGTTAGACCTCAGCACAGTAAACACAAATACTAGGAAAGCAATTTGTTTTATTCTGACCCAAGAAATAAATGCTTTGGGGCTGCAGTTATGGATCACACAGCAGCGTTGAAATTAAAAGATTGATTGTACCTGGAAATGATGATAACTGCTGCTCCTAGAGATGGGAAAAGTAATGCAAGGCTGCGAAACTTCTGTGCCCACTGCTGGGGCCTTTGTGGTGCTTAATGCTGAGGCATGAGAATAGGGGACAGGAGCCCAGCTGAAAGCTTGCTGAGTGCTCGGGAGGAGAGTTAACTGTCCGAGCATTGTCTGGGTGCTTTGGGGAAAGCCACCTTTCCAGGAGGCTGTGTGTGGCATTAGGGTGACAAAGGGCTGATTGAAATGCAGACTCGCCTCTGGGCAGGGGCTGTGGGTGTCGCTCAGGTGAATCAGTGTGAATGACTTGGGCAAATCCCCGGCACAGCTTTACTGCTTGTCCCGCTGACTCTGCTCGGGTTACAGATTTCAGCAGGATGCACGAGCATTGTGTGCAAGGTTTGTGGTGCATTCAGTGATGATATTTGTGCTTCCCTTAAGACCTGGGGTTGAAAAATGTGTAAATAGCTGGGGCAAATGTTTACAAGAAGAGCACATAAACTTCAAAGAATAAAACACAAGCACACAAGCTTTGCATCTCCAAAAAGCACCCACAATTAAGGTGCTAGCCTTGCTGGCACCTCTGCTTCGAGGATGTGTGTGCAGAAAGCTCCCCTCTGTGATGTGGGGCGGTGAAATGATGTGCGGAGCAAGGGGGTCTCAGCAGCCCCTGCCCCGTGCTTGTTCACATTGCCTCCCTGAGCTCTTGCTCAGAAATAAGTTATTGCACAGCTTTTGCTGGCTGAGTGAGAAGAATTCCAGCAATGTGGTCTGTAACGTAATTACCTGCCTTTTTTTTCCGTGTAACAGAGGGGTTTATCCTTTTGTAGTCTCTATAACCACGTGAAGAAATCCCGTGAAGAAATCCCGTAAAGCTCGACCCGAGGTGGGATCTAGCTTTGATTAGATCTGTTGGGTTTTACTCTCCGGGCTGTTGAACTGTGAATTGCGAGAGGCGTGCCTCAAAGGGTGGCGAGCAGAGGGAAAAAGCCAAGTGAGAAGGTGTGTGTTTATGCCATGACAGCTCTAATGGGGAGCACATTGCTGGTGCTTATTGGCAGGAATACCTGCAGCACCGCTCAGAGCTCTTAAAAAGCCAAAACCACCTGGGACGGGTCACCGGCAAGTGCTGGTAAACAGGCGGGGTGCCTCTCGCAGGCACGGGGCTCCCGTAGCACCCGAAAAGCTCTTGCACCCCGTCTGGCTCGATTCATCAGGATGTGTGCGAGCTCCTGAGTCCTTGTCCCAGCACAGGTCCCTCCGTCGTGTTTCACAGAGGAGGGGTGGCTGCAGTTCTGCTCCCTAGCCCTGCTGTGCCATGTTTGGGGCAGAGCAAGAGCCTTTCTGGTCACACAAACCAAAAATTAGAACATAAGCTGTTATTTCTGTTTGTACTTGCCCTTGGTTTCAGCTGGTTTTATGATGAAGGGTTTTCCTGAGCATCTGTAAGAAGAAAGACAGTCATTAGCTTGTACGTACCGACTCGTTCGTTCTTTTTTTTTCCCCCTCCCTGCTGATAGATTCCTTATTTGCTGTTCTCATCACCTCCTTGCAGTCAGGAATATTTCATTGTCTCTTATTACTTTTTCTGTACACCGCAACCTTTGAAACGAACAAATTGGTGTTAGTGAAGTCATCAGCGCGAGTTGTGGCTCGAGGTATTTACCTGCTCAAATGGATGCAGTTGAGTGCAGTCGTTTACCAGAGGTCACATACCATACTGGGAAAAAAAAAAAAAAGATAAAACCAACCCTCGTTTATTGTTTCACCCTTTCAGAAGGATGAGGAGAGCGATCGTGTTCTTTGAAGGTGTAGGAGCCACTAAGTAAAATCAGGACTTGCTTTTTTAATGTAAATGTCTCTGGTGGCCAGATGTAATCTGCGCACAGGGGGGAGGCAAATCTCTTTAAAAGCATCTGGAGCTTTAGTGATTTCTTGTGTTCTGGTTTTTCCCCAAAGATCCGAGCCAAGAAGAAACCTACTCCAGTGAAGTATGAAGTTGGGGATCTTGTTTGGGCCAAGTTCAACAGACGCCCATGGTGGCCATGCACAATTTGTCATGACCCAGTGCTGGACTGTCACTCAAAAATGAAAGGTACTGTATCTGCTCAGACACAAAGTGGAGGAGTTCTTTATTAATGGGGGAAAAAAAAAAAAAGCTGGCCCTTGAAAGATGTGAAGAAATAGATTGTAGGGTGGAAGAGCTGGGTCTGTAAGGCAGACCTAGACCAGGGAGATGACGGGGGAGCAAGGGGCTGAAGCTGATGGAAGGCACAGGCAGCTGCTGGAGCTGTAGGCTTTGGCTTCCAGGGCGTGAGAAGGATGAGTGTCCAGGGTGAGTGCAGGGCAGTGCAGCCTCTTGAAAAAGAGATGCAGAGAGAGGTGAATCAAAGAGGTGAGGGCAGAGGAGTGCAGCGGATGGAAAGGGTGGGCAAACGGAGCTGGGTACGCTGGAGTGGTGAGGACACAGAGAGTCAGCCAGGCTGGGGAGGGGAGGCAGGAGAGGCTGTGAAGTGGTGTGTGGGGTCAAAGAGTGGAGCTGCTGAATGCCTGAAGGTGTGATGTGAGTGTGTGGGAGGAAGTGAATATTTTCTTGGCCTTGTTTGGCACGGGGAAGCAGGGGGCTGTTTATGGGGAACTATCGGAAAAATCTGGTGATGGAACCACATATGTGAATGTTTAGGGCATAGTGTGTTAGGCTAGGAGCTGAGTGCGAGGGGAAGGGATGGAGGGAAATAAGACAGAGCTGCATGTGCCTGAACACGGGGAAGAAGAGGGTAGAGTCAGGAAGGAACGGGGTCTCACACGGTCAGGACAGAAGCACACATAAGTCATCGAGAGAACAGGAGGAAAGTGATGGCTTGGACATTGCAGTTTAGTTGAAAGCTCTCACGTTGCTTTTAGGATTATACTAGCTACCATGGGGGAGACTGCCACAAATGGAAAGGTTATTTATTCTGGGTTTTTCCTTCTGGTTCGTTTTGTTCTGCGGGTAACCAGAAACCCCTTGAAATGGTGCTGTCTGCCACTGACAGCTCTGTGGCCCTCACCAGCCAAAGAACCACGTGCTGAGAGTGAGGAGACTTTTATTCTGGTGACCACGGGCTCAGAGCCACCTACTATCTCTCTAGAGACATGAAGTGGCCTTTTCTACATTGTGCTCACATCGTCCACAAGTGTGGTTGCTGTAGTGTTACTTGCTGTTTCTCCACCTTCCTCTTCCTCCTTTGGGAGGCATTCATCTGGTTCTGGGTAATCCAGAACGTTCAGATTTAAACAGTCCCTTCTGAGCTCTCAAATTCCTGTCAAAGATGGTGTCTGAATCCATCCCCGTTGTCCTCTGTCCCCCACCCCCAATGAAATTATGGACAGGATTTAATTTATATAGCTGTCCAGCAACCCCCTCAGCCTGTGTATGGCAATTTCTAATAAAGGAAGGAAACATGCTATTAACAAATTCCAGCAAGATCCAATCTCCAGCTACACAAGAGACTCTCCCGTCATGTTTTATCCATGTTCACATCAAGAGAACTCTGGGGAAAAGTGCATTTTCCAGTTGTGGTTTCATGTAATCTATTCATCTCACCTCCCCGAGGGGAGGAACGGCAGAGCAGGTGGATCCGAACTCTGCTGTTTTGGGGCAAAAGGAGCTGCCAGGGCTCTGCGAGCACCATAGGAAGCACAGTCCTCCTGCCTCAGCTCTCTCCCGTTGTCATGGGAACCAGCCCTTCAAAACAAGGCAGGTTGCTTCAAACTCATCACTTGTGCAGAAAGCTCTTCTCTTGGTTCGAGGCACGGTATTTCGCTTCCAGCACTTCCCCTTTCTCAGCAAGCTGAATGATGTAGAGATTTTTGGAGCTGGAAAACCGAGGCTCAGTGGCTTGAGTCCCATTCCTGTAGATGGGATGGACTACATCTGTCATCTCTGTCCTCGGATCGATTTTTTTTTTCCCCCAGTCAGCATTTGTCATCCTCTGTATGTTCTTGGTCAGAAGCTTAATTTTGGCATCGCTGAACGCCAGGCTGCTGGTGCCTGCGTTGGCGCTCCTGGAAGAGGCAGCACAAACAAAGCGGGCTGCAGAGTTTAGGCTACGTGTTCAGGCAGTGAAGGTATTCCCAGGACAGCAGGAAACACTCCGCAGTGAAATGCAGGGAAAAGTTTATATCCCTCGTTCAAGCCTCGTTTGCTTTGTTCTGATGCCTGTAGCCTGTCCTTTTTTGCCAGCATACCTAATTCTGGTTCTGTTCTGAAGTGTATTGTGCCTGTTCAGCACTCTTGCACAGAAAACGTCTTTGAAAAATCCTCAAGTGGTCGTGATTGTGCTCTCAAGATTTTCTTCTCTTGATCTGCACCTTCGTGCCCACGGTGTTGAAATACTCGTCACAACTGGTGCTTTGTCCCCACGCACCCACTCCACGTGGAGTGTGTGTGTGTGTCTGTGGCTGACTTAAATGCTGCTCTTCGTATTTCATGTCCAGAAGAAGGGTTTGTTAACAAAGCGTTGAGCAAGATGGGGTGTGTTGTGCTGGGGGAGGTATGACCTGCATGAGCAAATCCTCTCCAAAAGGATCTTATTTCTGGGTATTGCGGGTGCACCAGTTGTCTTTTCCTGATGGTCAGATAGACTGGGCTGTTTAATTATTAATTGGGGAGAAGCACGAGGAAATGGCTTGCTTGGTATGTTACCTCTCTCAAGGAAAAGCAAAACAGAAACACAGAACAACCTTTGGCTATTTTTCAGAATTGTTTTACGGTCAATCTCTGTAGTTGTTGCTCTAGGGAGACAGATATTTTAAACCTGTTATTCACTGTAATAAAAAAAAAAATGCAGAAATGCAGAGTAGCAACACAGAAAATAGACAGCAGGGCTCGTCGGGGTTTCCCCAAGTTCTGACTGGGAATTGCTAGAGCCAGCATTCAGGTGGGAATGTTATTAAGCAGAAGGTGTGGGAAAATGTCAGATTGCTGCTGATTTCTGTGATTCTTGTTGTGCATCTTTATTCTGTTATGTGCAAGGGGTTAATTCTGTTAAATTGTCCAAAATAGTTTCCAATCGGAGACCATACCGAGAGTACTATGTGGATGCCTTAGGAGAACCTTCCGAGAAAGCCTGGGTGGCTGGCAAAGCCATTGTCCTCTTTGAAGGAAGACACCAGTTCGAAGAGCTGCCTATTCTGCGGAGGAGAGGAAAGCAGAAAGAAAAAGGCTACAAACATAAGGTGAAAGATCTGCTTTCTCTAACACGATTTTGATTCCTCGAATGTGCACGATGAAAAGTAGTCCTTTGTGCCTGCAGGTGTACTTTGACAGCTTGCTTTTGTGGCAGGGACTGCAGCAACGGGGCCAGGGAAGAAGTGATTCTCTGCATCTGCCTAACAAGCATGGTTTATAAGCTGCTGGGAGTCTCTGGGCTCCCTTTTATGTTTATGTCCGGGTGTGCCCACTGCTTTTGTGGCCCTGCAGAGCTCTGAGAGGCAGAGGAGTCAGGTCCCCGTCAGTACGAGAGCTGTAGCAGCGTAGCCCTCTCCTGATGCCAATTACAGTGCGCTTTTAAAGAACTTCCTGTGCTCTCGGGCAGCCTCTTTTGGCTGATCTGAAGTCGAGCTGGAGTTGCATACTTGAGCGAGATTACTGACTGAGATAAAGCGGGGGGGGGGTTTTAGTCCCGCTTCGACAATTCTCATTATAGAAACCTGGGAGGACTTATCGTGTCACTTGGAAAAAATTGTCAGCGAGCCCATGGGAATGAATTTTGGGGCTCATTGCATCATCTCCATTTCCAAACATAACAGCCCTGAGCAGTTGTAGCCAGCGCGATGTAATGTGACACACAAGTCTGGTCTACATCTTTAGCATCGTGGCTGCAGAAATTAACTTTTTAGAATTGCTGAAATGAAGTAAACAGGCTACCACGTTACAGTGAGAGAGCAGGCAGTCGTACTGGGCAATGTTGTCTGTTGTAGGTTTTGTTTTTTTTTGTTTTTAAGAGATTTATTAGCAGTTAAGTACTTAACCCATGGTAGTGCAAAACCATTGGATTAAATGTGCTCTTGCAGATGTGAGCTCCCTGAGTGTGAGGCTTTCTTTTCTTGTTCCAAGGGTATGCTCAGTAACTTCTCTAACAACTTTGCTACCCCTATTTCCACCTCCCTCATCTAACAACTCATTACGTGCTCCAAAGTAACATTTTTGGTGCTAGGAATTAAAATGTTTCGAGGCTAGAATCTCACCCTGTATGTAAATTGTAGCAGCAGCGTGGCTGTAACTGAAGGAACTGAATCAGAGCATTTTGCTGCTTTGCTACTGGGCCCTGTAAAACCTTTTTTTTTTTTTTTTTTTAAATCTGCTAAGATAATAATTTATTGCTGTTTTTTTCTTTTTAAGGAAAAAAGTATCAAATTTGAGATGTTCCTCCTGCCATGGAATAGGTTTTGATTTTTAGGAGCAGTTGTGAAGCATTTGGTGTTCTGTTGTGCAGCCAAGAACAACATGTGCAGATAAGAATCAGAATAAAAATGTTTCTTGTTGTTTTTAGATGTTAGCAGAGGTTCCTGTCCAGTATGCTGAGGCTTTATTCTGAGGTTAGAGTTGAAGCTGGGAGAATTACGGATAAAGGATATGTTGAATCTGTTAGATTATATTTTAGGTGTATGTGTCTGGGTCTTATGCTTGTACCAAGGTGAGTTCGTGGAGAGGGAAGACTGAATAATGCCCTGAGTTCAAGGGATGCAGGAACGATCAAGAACAAGAAAAGCAAACGTGTCTGTTCAAATATTCTGAGAAAATGATTTTACAGTTGCATTGTGAGGCCTGTGGGCTGTTGCTTTGCATTTCTGTCAGGGATCCATACCATACGCATTCCCTCTGCCTACTGGTGTTTTTGGGATGTGGTGCAACGCCAGGGTGTTTGGTCCCTGGGAGACCAGTGCTTGCAGTTCTGCTATTTTGGGAATGCACAAAAATTTTTATTGGGCTTGGGAAGAGTGTGGGGTCTTTACCTGGGAGGAGTGTTTTGTGTCCTCGAGACACAGTCTCTGGGAATCCATGTTAATTGTCTTAAAGAAGCAAAATGCAGGACTGTCGCTCTGTTCTGCGCCTTGTCTATCTCACTTTTATCCTGTTGGTTATCCCCTCATTTTTTTTCTTTTTTCTTTTTTTTGTCTCCTCCAACTTGAAGGTTCCCCAGAGATTTATGGCTAAATGGGAAGTCAGTGTTGGACAGGCAGAAGACATTCTTCTCGGGGGGCCAGAGGATCAAAAGTGCAGCCAGAACTCCAGCGAGCTGGACAGCGAGAAGGAAGTGCAGTCGGAATACTATGCCAATGGCCCTGGAGCCGAAAAGGACAGGCAGCTGAATGGCTGTTTTAAATCCTTGGCGTTTGACTCGAGACACTCAGCCAGTGAAAAAGGAAAATTGCACATTAAGCCACACGTGAAAAAGAGCTCTGACAGCAGAAAGAGGACTAGAGTAAAAAAGAATAGCATGAGAGGAGAAGCTTCCAAGGGAGAAATCAAAGAAAAAATGCCAGAGAGCATAGTTAAAAACATGATGGTTGGGGACCTACCAGATAAACACGCATCTCATGAACTTCGCCGGATTGCGAACAGCCTAACGGCATCCAATAGTGCCAGGGAAAACCATTTGCTCTCCTCCTTTGGAGAAAGACATTTTGAAAAGATGACTTTGAAACCAGACTACGAGAACTGTAAAAGTGGTGCTCTGAAGAACACACTCCAAGGGGATTTGTTTTCCAGCACATCTTTGGAGAGAGAGAAGAGTTCCCTGGGCATTCTGTGCAGTTCCAAGTTACAAATACACTATTCTGCGTCTGAGGCTGGCATTGAGAAAAAGCAAACGGAGTCAGATTCATCCTCTTCCCTCTCGGATGGTGGGAACAGCGATGTGGATACCATGGACCAAAGTTCAGAGAGAGCCTCTAGCACTCTTGAAGTCAGTGATTCTTCAGATAAGATGGAGAAGGAATTTCCTATGACGTCAAGTGGAAACATTAAGCTTTCTATGTATTTTTCTCAGAAGAGCAACAGAAGGGCCAGGAAGAAGTCGTACAGAGATCGCAAACCTCTGGGAGGTTCAGCAACCAGCAGGCTTGATGCTGAATTTGCACATGGGGAGCTTGAAGGAGGCTCCTCTGATGCTGAGATGTCATTGACAACTCTTGAGCGCTCTTCAGATGTGAGAAATGACAATCTTTCCCTAGCAAACAAACACACTACTCCCCAAAGTGTTTCCAAGGACAACTCCTGGTCTGCTGTTGCAAATCAAACAACCTTAAAACCGAAAAGCGTGAAATTGCCCCGGATCAGGAGTATCAAATGCAAACATAAAGAAAAAGGTTCTGGGTTGGAGCCTTCTCTTGCAGAAGAGGAGGGTGGCATGAAGCGCTGCTCTTCTGATACCAAAGGGTTCTCTGGCCTTCAGAAAGATTCTCTTCTGAGAAGTGGAAAAGTCGATGGTCAGAAACTGTTAAACAACGTGCACGAGAAACCCAGGGATTCTGCTGAAATAGAAACGGCCGTGGTGAAACACGTCTTGTCGGAGCTGAAGGAGCTCTCTTACCGGTCCATGAATGATGATGCGAGTGACTCTGGCACTCCGAAGGCCACAGTACCTTTACTTTTCTCTTCCGCCTCTGGTCACGGTCGTTTGCCCATTGAGCCAAATTACAGATTCAGCACCTTGTTAATGATGTTGAAGGATATTCACGACAGTAAGGCAAAAGAGCAGCAGCTGATGACTGGTCAGAACATAGTCCCGTATCGAAATACCAGCACAGCCGATGGTTCTGGAAGCAATTCTGCGAGTGGTCTGACATCCTTGTCTATTGTAGGTCCCCCGTATAAAATAGAAAAAAATGGAGATTGTGTCCAGGAAACGGTCAATGCGAACTCCAGTATAAGCAACTCCTCATTTTCACGCAATCCTCCAGCCAAGTTAACAGGGATTGGTACTAGTAAGAGGGAGCCTGCGAATACTGCTGTTTCTGGGACAAATGGCACAAATTGCGTGTCCAAACGCAACTGTTCAAAATCTAAGCAGTCATCAAAGCTTGGAGATAAGACAGTTTCAAACAGAAAGGACTTAAAACCAGGAGGGCCAAGTAAGTTGTTAAGTCGGTTATCCAGAGATTCAGGAGAACATGCATTCCGCGTTCACGGTTCGGTTACCAGTCCTCTAGGTAATGAAGCAGAAGATACTGGGAGGAAAGAGTCTGTTGATTTAACAGAACATTCAACTGATGAAGACTCTGCTTGTTTATCTGATGACAATTTAGGTCGTATTGGAAGGAGACCTGAAGCTGGTAGAAATACTGAGAGCTGCACTTCTGCTGAAAATGGGGAGAGTCCAGACTTGGATTCAGAGGCAAATAGTGAGAGCTCTCTTGGTGATGAGGCTAATGAGATAAATCATGTAGCACCCAAAAAGCGATGGCAGCGTTTTAACCAAAGCAGTGCTAGATCTAATAAGCACATCAGTAGATCTAGGGAACAAGGAAACTTGGCGAGTGCCTTTGGCCTGAATTCTCATGGCTTTTCACTGAAGGGAAATGAGTGCTTGGGACGTAGGCATTCCCCTCATTCAAAGGTGCTTGAGGGAGACCTAACAGGTCAGGACTATGAGAATCGTTTAGACTTAGTTGAGAAACGTTTGAATGTATGTGGTAAGCCAAACAACAGTGTGATGGACTCAGAAACAGAGCTTGGCAACTTTGCTCCCCAGTCTGAATTCTCTGCACAAGGTAAGGGAGCTGGACTTGCGCCAGAGTGTGTATTTATGCATTTTATAATTTTTCATTTAAAGCATAAGATGCAGATTTTTGGGCTGTTTGACAACATGGAGGCGTGTATATATCTGTGAGCTGAAGAACAAGTGTTGTGTTGTTTTTGGGTTCTCTGTCAGCACGGAGAACAAAGAAGCTGGTGTGACTTTAGGATTTTGCTTAGCTTTTGGTTAGAAAACTTACATATTTAACAAATGATTAGTTCCTGTACAGTGAAAGATAAAACATTGATCTTTCCAAACCTAGGATTTTTATCCTTTAACTTAACACCTTCATACTGTTTCCCTTAGTCACTGTGCTTGGTCTTAGCTGGATAAATAGCTCTAGAAAGTTGTAGGAAATGGATCATAAAAAGATCTCTCTCCTTCCCTCCTTTTTTCACTTCATGCTGTTTGACTTAGGACAAGTCACAGAGACTATGTCTATAGTGTTTCATCAAGACAATGTCTTGTTTATTTTTATTTCAATGTGAGGTTTATTAGTTGCTAATAATGAATCGGGGAACTGCACAGATTTCCTAATTCACAACATTTGTGGGGCTGCCTGAGGGATAAAAATAAAAGGGAGAAGATAGGATGGGAAAGTTGCCAGGGAGTCTGGGAGGAGGTGGCTCTGGAATATGGCATGTGGAAGTAAGGCAGCCTCGTCCAAAGGGAGGTCAGCTCGGAAGAAGGATGCTTCAGGGCACCACAGCCCTGTCTCTCCCACAGGGATCTGGGTGAATTTCTTATGGATAGCTAAGGTTGGAGGGGGAAAAAGAAAGAGGGGCCCATAGGGTGTGCTGCACTGGGTAAAAGTTGTGTTTTGAAACCACAGCAAGCTGAAGCGCTCACTGCCTGCTCTGGCTGTGTGTTTTTGAGGACTGAAATCCTCCCAGAGGCAGCGCAGAGCTGAGCTTTGTGCTGGGATGGGGCTGTGTGGAGAGGCCAGGCCGCAGCCTGAAGCGAGCTCCTGCCTTATTCAAAAGCACCACTGGATTCTCTTGGCTTCCTGATGGTTTTGTCATTGAAGCATCCCAGCACCTTGCTAAGCAAGGTGAAGGTGCAAGTCTGCAGAGAGAGCTAGGGAGGAGCTGACACAAGGTGGCAGTGCCAGGAGAACCGGCAGCAGGAGCCATGTGGGGCAGGCCTGGGGGAGGAGGCCGGAGAGCAGTGCAGGGACGGTGTGTGGGCCTGGGATTGCTTGCAGAAGTGGCAGATCAGCAGCTGTAGTGTAATCTGGTTCCTCTGCCCTCGGTAGCACACCAGCCTCGAAGCACACCTGAAGTTTTCCTCCAGAAATGTGCTGTAAGGAGGCACCGGAGCCTCTGTGCGTGAGGAGCTGTCAGGGCTGCCGCGGTGTCCCCAGTGCGGGATGGGCAGGGAGTGGGTGAGTGCTGGAAAAGGCCCGTCAGTGGAAAGTGGTCCTGCTTTGTGTTGGAGCAGGCCAGTTATACAGAAAGTAGAGAGAACGGTGCTGGAGGTTAGGGCTGCCACTTAGAGAAGAGAACGGGCTTCCTCTCTTTGCCAGTGCTTTGAGACGATGTGACTAATCCTCCTCCGCAGGCAGACATGTAAGGGGCCACAAAAGATTGCATTCAGCACCGTGTAATTTCCACTCAGCTCAAACTATACAAGTCCTCATCGTAGCCAAGTGGCAACATCCGGCATCTTTCTGCTGCAAAACTTGTAGTGAGTGGGGTGTCGAGTGAGGAGGGCAGAAATGGTGAGCAAGTAAGAAGTGATGGATGATTGGAAGCATTTGTGACTGCAAACATACAAATAATATCTTTTTAAGGTATGTCATTTGCCATTGCCAATCAGACTGCGTATAGGATTTTTGTACAGGGTTCACTTCAAGGGGAAAAAAGTGCAGTGAAGCCACCCTTCCTGGTACAACGCTGTGAGGCTCAGGAGTCACCTGGTGAAGGTGCTCAGCCTGGAGCTGGGAATGTGCTGCAATATGGGTCTCACTTAGACACCTGTGCAGAGAGTTAATAGCAGCTGAGAATAGTTGTGTTTGGGGGAAAAAAAAAAAGTTCCTTTCTTCTCTTTTGGCCAAGTTTGACACTTCTGTGCTTGTTTAACCACAAAGCCCCAGTGAAGTGTAGCAGTCTCGTCCAACATCCCTTGTTGCACTGGAATGCTTTTCCGTGAAACGTGTCTGGACAAAGAAGAAAAACCCACCTTCCAGCCGGGAAGAGGAGTAAAGAACAGCATGTTTAGTGTTTGTTCATAAGCTCCCAGGAGACCACAAACGTTCCTGTGACTAGAACTGCTGTGACGATAACTTCAGAAACTAGTGAAGGGGAAAGTCCGAGGTATTTGAGAAAGTGAGAAAGCGACAGAAACTTGCATCGTCTTGCTTGTGCAGCTTGCTGAGTAGAGATGAGTACGATGGTATCAGAGCTTGCTGTGAGCTGGGTGTTGTGAGAGTGAGCAGTGAGGTTGGTACCAGGGAAATCCCGACTGCTAGGCTTTTCCCCTGTGACGCTGTTGTGCGAGTGTAAAGAAAAAGGCATCTGAGCCTTGAGCAGCTCGCAGTCTCTGGGGAGGATGGGTTGCTCCCTCGTCATCCTGGTCTCGGTGTAGAACGTATTGTGGGGAGGCAAAGGGAATAAACAGGCTGGCAGAGGCAGCTGGGGAATGCAGGGCTCTTGAAGCCTGTGAGAAGATGGGCTGGGGAGGAGGCAAAGGGAAGGAGTCAGGCTGGTGGCTGAGCGGTGTTAGGGAAAGCAGAGCTTTCCTGTGTCCCTGCACTTAAACCCAAGGGAGTTTGGTTAACAGGAAAAGTAGAGAATCTGAGCTTCTAACAGGTGTTAGGTTTCGTAAGAGTACTGCGTGAAGGATAAATGTCGAAATTCCTAGGAGCCTCTCAGTCAGATAGCTCATGTTTAATTTCTCACCTGAAGTGCTTGAAGGCCTTAAAAATCTCACTCGTTATGTCAGGCTTCTGGAAACGCAAAGCTCCAAATGATAAGGCAGTATCAAAGAGAAAGAAGTACTGGGGCTCTTCCACATGGAGCCTGCAGAAGAGAAAAGGCAGGAGCAGCTATTGCCTGCAGATCATGAGGAGAATTTGTCTTGTGATCTTCTCAGAAACACAGTCTTGAAGCTGCTTTCCTTTTTCTTAGTACATTCAGAGAGGAAACGCCTTAGAAAGCCAAGTAAACGGCTTCTGGAATATGCAGAAGAATATGATCACTTATTTGCACCCAAGAAAAAGTCAAAGAAAGTCCAGGAGCAATTGCAAAAGGTAGGTTAAGGCAAATGTGCTCTTCGTGTCTCGTGCTTTTGGGCTCCAGTTCACGTGCTTTTGCTGTGTTCTTGCTTGCTGAGCGTCCTTGCTGTCTACAAGGCTGTGCAGGGCAAATGTTTTCACCACCGTGTTTCGCTACGCTAGGTGAATTCTGTGGCGAGGTCTGAATTTGAAGGAGGTCTTCCTGCACAGTGCAGTCCTGACAGAGACACCCAGCGGGGGCCGAGCCCTTTGATTTCAACTCCATCTTCAACCAAAGAGTCCCCTCCCATTCTTGAAGCAGAGTGCTCCTTCTCAGAACTAGGATCCCATTCCACTGATCCCACTCACCAACTCCTAGAAGGACCTTCTGATTTTCCAGAGCTCGTGCTATCTTCCTCAGATGTTTCTGAAGTTTCTGCTTCTCCAGATGCAGAGGAGAGATTCCTGAAATCGGGTAAGTGGGAGGTTGTGTGATTCTGCTCCCGTAAGCGAATGTGTCACAAGTTCAGTGGAAATGTTGCTTCAGTCCAAGTTAAAAGGTTAGTAACTGCTGATCTGTGTGGTTATCAGTTTGTTTATTGTGCTTTGATTCATTCAGAGACTACTACTGGTGCTGGGAAGGGAGAGGGCAGGTGAAGTGTGTTACACAGCGAGGTGCCTGATTATCTTCTGCTTTTACTGTTCTGTATAAAGATGTGACCAGGGTCAAGGCCCTGGTGTTCTGGCTTTGTAAACATGTAGAGAATGCTGTTTCTGTTGGTGTGTGTATATTTTCCTATAGTGTTTTGTTTATAGAAACAATAAATGGTGTGTATATACACACATTAATAAAGACAATATAAACATGTATCATAATAAACCAAGTGTGTAGAGAGAGGTATAGTCACTGAGAGGTCGGTTAGCCTGGTGTTTCTGGGACCGGGGGGCTGTGGGTGTCAGATGGAAATGGAAAGATGGCAATGATTAAAGGAAGGAAAACTGGGAATGTGCACCTGAGGCTGGATGTGCAGGAGAACAGCACACAGCGGAGCCAACATCCAGCATGCAGGGGTTGCATTTCTCTTCCCACTCGTGAGAAAGCTCGCGTCTTGCTAAGCACACAGCACCCAGGCTGTGGGCAGAGGCTTGCCTTGAACGATGACGTGTTGTCCTCCGTTAGGTGTCTGATGTCTCTGGTATCTGTGCAGAGGCGTGTGCCGTAGGAAGGACATAGCCAAGGCTGATGAAAGAAGCAGATGAACAGGGTAGGGTGGGTAGTAGGCCCTTTCTCTGAAGTGTCTTGCACTCATAGCATCACAATTTCCTGGTCATTGTAAGTTTCTGCTGTTGCCCACATCTAGCAACTTGTTGTTCCCAAGGACCAGCAAAAAGCTTAGCAAGAAGCCAACACAGCTTTCAGCTACTTTGCTTGAGTCGTCTCTTAACAGGTGGTTTTAGCTGGGAGCATGTCCTTTAGCCTGTTTACTCTATGCAGCAAGAGCACTGGTGAGAGTGGTGTGGGAGGAAGCGCGGCTGGATGTGTCAGTGGGTAGGATTGGATTCTTCTGGAATCATCTTCTGGAAAGAGGTCCATTTTTATGTAAAGTGTGCAGGTAATTGGCATTTTTGCACAAGGAGCTTGTGATACAAAAGACTAGGTGAATTGGAATGTTTTGAACTGTTGGCTGGTATTTGCTTAATGGCCTTAGTGTGACTGAAGTTAAGAAAATCCCCATTTATCTAACGAGAAGGACTTTATTGCAGGAAACTTTGAGAGCAAACGTCAAAGGAAGCCCACTAAAAAGCTCTTGGAATCCAATGATTTGGACACTGCCTTTATGCCAAAGAAGGAGGAGTGGACTCCCCCAAAGAAGGTATTTTTCCTTCCAGTGCTTTTGGAAGTCTGATAGAAAATGAGCCCAGACACCAGAGCCCGCTGAATGAGAGGCACAGTGCAGTGGGCTGTGGTTTTTGTTGGCTGGGGCCCAGGAGTGAGGGTCCACCCTTCCCAAAGGTGCTGGTTGCTGTGTTATGATGAAGAAATCTGCTAAATACAGAGGTGTTCCCCACCCCTCCCCGCTTGTAATGAGGACTGGGGAATTTTGGCTGTAAAGTCTCCGTTCTCCATTGATTTCTATGGAAAAATGAGTCATCTGGATACTGGTTGGAAAGGTGTGAACAGAAATGTTCTGGGCAGAGCTTTTCTGTCACAGGGAATCCCTGTTATGTTACGGTGTAACTCAAGCTTGAACCAAGGCTTTCTCCTTTTCTGTCAGATTTCCTCTGAATAGTATTTCCTTTGTTATTCCCAACTGGGCTGGCACATGGTAAGTAAGTGCAGAACTTGTAGCTGGATGGAGGTTTGAGCTGTATCACGTACGGCTTGCAGTGCTTGATGCAGTTAAGCAGAAAATAGCAGCATTTTCTTTTTAAAATACTCAATATTCAGTAGCATCGTTTGGAAAAAAAAATGACCAGAGTTATGTCAGGCATTGCACATGCACAAGACCTGTAGTTGTTTCTCAGGTGAATTAATAAGTGTTGTTGTTTTTCCTGTTCTCTCTGTGGCACAGTCAGCATGGTTGCAGTAATGCAGAAGCCAGCGTGTAATTCAGTCTTAGGCTCCATAACAAATGTGAAACCAGGAGTGTATTCCCAGCAGCTTACGGGGTGTTAGCAGCCTTTTTGGGAGAGCTCAGGAAAGAGCAGGGGATGCTGGTGACCATGAGGCTCGTCATTCTCTGTGCAAGGAGGAATGCCTTTTCTATGTGGGATCTATCAGACACAAACCAAGTGTTGTCTTGTAATGCTGATAATCATTGATGAATTCATGATCTGAAATGAGAATTATTGCAGTCACTTGTAAAAGGCTGAGGAATGTGCATCTCTGATTTGCCTCTGCTGAATTGTCTCTTGTGTATTTGTAGGGCACTGGTCCTTCAGAGAGCGACAGCTCTGAACTGTACTCGCCAGCCCACTTCTCAGACCTGGGAGAAGGTAAGTGAAGACAGGGCAGCAGGGGCAGACTGATGCCATGTGGATCAGTGCCCGTGGCTTTAGAGAGAGCTGTGTGTGTAGGGGCTTACGTGTCTTAGGAAGGCTCTTAGGAAGTACTGCTGAGGCAGTGGCAGAAGAAACAGGTACAGCAATTGCTTGTCAAAGGTGTCATTATATCTTTGACTTCCTTAGGGAAAGTGGAGGTGTTAGCTTCATATTTCCACTGGAAGATATTAAATTTTCATTCTTACTTTGAGTGGTTGAAGGAAACTCATCAGCCACAGGTGCTGTGCCACTGCACGTTTTGCCTGATGGCGTGCTGTGCCCAGGCTCAACAGTGGTGTTCCATGGAGGATTGTGTGGTTGTACTGTGTTCCCTCCCCCATGGGCCTTTATATTAATCACATTGGTGTCAACGTGAGATTTCTGTTTCATGGTGGTGGGAGGAGATAATTATCAGCATTTCAATAGCAATGATGGCTTTGTGTTGGTAGCACTTCCTTTTTGTCTGGAGGGCTGTCTCAGGATAAGTCAGTAAGGATATTCCTCAGCTCAGCAAAAGAATTCAGACCGAGAATTCAGGGTGAGTCAGTGTTGTCCAGGTCCTCTGATGGCTGCAGGACAAAGGACAGACTGCCTTGGAGGCAGGCTTGCATTGCCCCAGGCCATGTGCCTTCCAAAACAATGGCAACCAGCCTGAAGCAGTCAGAGTGTAGAAGCTGATGGTGGGCCTGCAGAAAGCAGGCAGATTGTGATTTTTGCATTTTTCTTGAATGGTCTTTGTCACATCCCAGCTCCTGAAAAGGTCTTGGAGAAGCAACGGAAGCGGAAGAGACAGCGCCATCCCTCTGTTGCAATGCATTCCAAGAAGGAGAAAAACGGGGAAGGGCTGGGGGAGACCCCACATTCTGAGGTACTCTTGGGTTTTCCTACACTCTCTCATCCCTGTAACCTCTCTGCTACTTCTCAGGGTGCTGTGCAGAGCCTAGGCCAAGTAGTCTTTGGCTGGCTGAATGAGATCGGTGTGTCAGATGGGACTTTGTGCCCCTGATGCAGTTGCATGAGCTGGGGTTGAAGCTGAAGGTATCACCTCGATTAAGTAACTATTTTGTGATGGCTGCTTAACTTGGGCTCAATTTTTAAGCTGCTATTCAGCTAATTCTCCAGGAGAGAGTCTGTTCTGATCTGACAGGACCTGGCATCTTGCTTTGCACCTCAGAAGACCTAATTGCTGTAAAAGGTCTTGTCTTCTGGTGTGGGTATCTTGCCGTTTTACACACCAGTATGAAACACAAGCACTGGATTGTGGACTTCAACCCCTTCTTGCACTTGCCCTGCTTGCTAGGGTGAGCTAAGAGCTGCATCGGAGGGCTTGGGGGGTGGACGGGACGGGGGACTGTCTGTGTCTGCTCGTAGGAGCCTCTGATTACATTCTGCCATCCAGCAGAAAGGGATAATTGGGGCGACTCCCTTCTACTGCATCCTAGCAGAGCTGGCATACAAATATCTCTGACAAGCACGTTTTGCCTTTTAGGAGTGAGCCAGGTATCACCAAGTGTAGGGGAAGCAAGACTTTTCCTGAGAGAGGCGGGACACCTCCGGGCCTCTCTCAGCATCGCCTCTCACTTCCAGTGGCCCAGGTTCAGCAGCAGGCTGTTCTGTCAGGATAGTCAGTATGTATTTCAGGAGCCAATTATAGACATATATTGTTATATTTGTTGTTGTTATACAGCTTCCAGCAGAGCACAAACGTCACACCAGTTGTCTGAGCAGTGCCAGCTACCCTGCTGTCTGCTGCTACTGCTGTTTGAAAAGCATTTCTGACGGGGGTGACAAAGTTTGGGGTAATACCTCAGGGCCCTGCAAGCCTTCCCGTGCTGCTTGAAGAGCACTGGTCACTTGTTTCTGAAGTGTGCTCACCTGGAATCATGTTTCAAAGAAGCCTGTACAAATATCTTTGCCAATGCTGGGGGGTAGTTAACACTGTCTGCTGTTAGGCACCCTGTAAGAGGCTGGCTCAGTTCAGAGCCAGCAAATTCTCTGCACACCTTTTGTAGCGAAGAAGTGAGGGGGCAGTTCAGAGCAGCAGGGTAGCTAGGCCACAGCTCTGAATGCCACGCTCACTGCAGAGAAGTCCAGGGAGTCTTAACTGCCTCCAGCCTTAGACGTACATCTGTGTTGGGTACCTGACGTCATGTAACACCAACACTCGGCACCTTTTCCCAGCATCCATTTTCATGATTGTGTCTCTGGAGCCAGTGTGGGGAGTGTTCACCCCTTGGCTTAGGAGAGTGCATAGGTGAGTATTGGGGTGCTGTGGAGATGCAATTACACTTCCACTTGGAATTCAGACTACACTGGTCCCTAAGCGAACCGTCCACACACCTGGCAAGGAACCTCACTTTCTCCTGAATGCTGCTAGAAGAAATACATGTTCTGATGGTGCAGCACAGTGAAGCCTTGGATCCAGCTGCTTTCAGAGGGCAGAGGAAAGTCTGCCTACCTGGGCTGAACTGGGCAGTTTTCTCTGCCCTTGCCTGTCTGTGGAGCCAGGAATGCAAGTTGGCAACATCAGGGCAGCAAGAGCCCAAGAGAACAGGATGGAAAATACTGTTGAAGTGGTGGTCAAGGTTGTGTGTCAAGGTCAGGCTGTGCCAAAGAACAGGCCAGGCTTTTAAGGATGTGCCAGATACGACAGCAGAAATAGCTCTGGAAGAAGACCCAAGATGAGACCTGCCCTCTGTAGGAGGTATGTAGCTTCACAGTGCTCACATTGGGTAGGGGAAAGAGTGGGAACAGTGTGACAGGTTCTTCTGAGTGATGGATGGTGATCTCCCTTCTCCCTGTTTGCAGAGCACAAATACCTGGCCTTGCCCATCCTGCCCAGTTCTGACATCCCACTCCTGGTGTGTTTCTGGGAGGACTGATTAAAAAATAAGGCTAAGGTCCCTGACATGTTAAATGTACAGGTTGGCCAGGTATTTGTGGAACTAAATAGGATGGCTTGAGGCTGAAAAGATAAGGGATTGTAGCATGCTCTGCTACACTGGGCTGTCTGGGGCCAGTTGTTGAGATCCTTGCGAATAGCAAATATTTACAGCTCTGAGGGTTGCTGGTTTGTGTTCTGTAACTCGAGGTGCCTTTCAGTCTGTCATTCCATTGACACGTGAAACGTGGCCTGGGTTCATAACAAGCAATCCTGGCAGCCATGGTAGAAAGCAGCCAGAAGGATGGACCAGTCCTGAATCCCTCATACTGCTGGCTGTGGCAGATCTGAATGTGTCCCCTGCCTCCTTCCAAACCCCCTAGAAACTAGTGGGAAGCAAGTACCATTACCCACAGGAGGGGTGGTGGTCGTTAGCCAATTTCCTGTCCCTCTGGAAGGGTTCTCAGTGACCACAAGAGAGGCCAAACTTTGTGTCTGCAGCACTGACCCCAGCACAAACAGAAGCTGTAGCTGAAGCTGTTTACCCACACGAGTAGCTGATTAACCCTGCTCTTGTTCTTCCTTACAGTGACCCCTGCAACCCTGAGGTCACTGCTGAACTGAGCAGAAGAGGGAGCACCTATGTAGGAATTAGGAGGACCTGAGCTGTAACCAGTCCCTGGGATGCTGGTCCCTGGTGCTGCTCCTGGAGCATTCCAGGAGCCAAATCAAGTGCCTGAGCCAGCGGGCTGTCTTGTGGCAGACTGCGCCCTTCCTAGCAGAAATACCTAGCAGAAGTGAAGTACCTAGGTAGCACTTAAGATGCCATTGTGTGTAGAGGTAAAGGCAGCTGTTGTGTTGTTAGCAAGTGGTTTTACCAGAGCTCTAGACCTTTTCCTTCCCCTTCCATCTGCCAGGGCTAGGATGGCAGCAAGTGACGTGCTCCTTCACAGAATTCCTGAGGGCTGCATCACTGCCAGCTTCCAGCATGTCTGTAATGATGGTGTGTAAGGTGTACGCTGGACGTGTGATTGGCACTAGTTTGTAGCTGGGAGTTTTCTTTTTTTGTGCTCAATAAAGCGAACTTACACCACTCGTGTTTGTATTGTGTGCTTTAATACGCTGTCAGTGCATCATTGGTCCACGTGGTTTGAAAAGGTTCCCAAGTGAAAACATGCCGATGGATTCAAGGACTGAAAAATCAAGCAAAGGAAGCATCACTACCTGACAAGAATACCAGCTCCATGTTCTTCCATCTTAAGGACGTTTGTTTTGCCCAGACTAATAACGTGCTCAGAGTGTTCAGCTGAGCCTGCAAGCTTTAGTGGCACCACAGCTCAGATGAGTATGGTATTCTCATGGACAGAAAGTGGTGCAGAGCTCCCTCTCGTCATCATTAGTTGTCCACCTGGCATTGAGCAGGCTCCAGGGGATGAGTCGTGGTTGCTGCTCTTGCTAGGAGTTGGAGTTCCTAACAAGGTCTTTGAAGTGTAGGGTTTTTTTTTCAGGGCATGGAGTAAACACGGCTTTTTGACCCAAGGAGGATCTTGGATCCAAAAGCCGCTGTAGCTATGCACTGAGATCACTCAGCTATCTGCAGTGAGCTGGGATTTAAAAACAAACAAAAATAAATTTCAGTCTTGTATTTGCATTTCTAGTACAAGCAGTACATCAGCGCACAGGATGCTTCTTTGGCATTGATGGGCATGATTTTCAGACTATGCAAACCTGCCTGATACGTTTCAATGAATACTGTTCTTCCTCGGCTGTGACTTCCTTTCCTCAAAGAGGGTTACGCACAGAAAAATAGTTTTGTTCATTGTGTATTTTAAATGATCTAACAAACTAAAGAGCTCTTCCTTTCCTTTATTGCAAGTCTTTTGGTAGAACCATGTGGGGGGCGTTCTCTCCAGGGTGGGTAGCACTGACTGCCAAACTTGTATGTGCTCGATGGCTGAATTTGTAGTTTGCAAGGCAGTGTCCTGTCTTGCAAGGCTGTGTAGGATGCACAGCCCTAATTTTGAATTTCTTTTTAAAGGGGGAGACATCGGGTCATGGGACTGCTACAAGCCCTAAGGAGGGAAACGAAGAGGGGTCTGAGAATGACCATGGAGTGCCTTCATCCAAAAAGATACAGGGGGAGCGTGGAGGAGGAGCAGCTCTCAAGGAGAATGTGTGCCAGGTAGTGTCCTTGAGGAGACCTCTTTGAAACTTCAGTACTCCCAGAGATTTTCCATGTGAGTGCTGACGTGCTCTTGTGCCCCCAGCTAAGTCTGGGTGGCCTCAAGGTGCACGTTACTGAAATAACCAACTTCTTGTGCTCTTTGAGGGGCTGTGTGGTTCTGAGGGCTTTGACAGCCCTTTAACCAGTAGCGTTCTGAATCGAGCCTTTCCTGTGTGATTGCCTCATCCTAAAGTTTAAGGATGTTAGGGAGATGTGACCGACTTACAATTCCTTTTAGCTGGTGCGTTGTAGCGGGGACGGGACAGCAAATGGCAGCGGTGATGCACAAACCACCTGAACTCACTGACACAAGGCAAACTAACCTTTTTTTTCTGCAGGAATCTCTGCTGGCAGCTACGCTCAGCATGCAGAGCGTTGCTGTCCAGGATGAGCTGGGGAAGGGGTTGCTCAGAGCTCACGATGTGCTTCCTTCCCCCCCAGATCTGCGAGAAGCCAGGGGAATTGCTGCTGTGTGAGGCGCAGTGCTGTGGTGCTTTCCACCTGCAGTGCCTTGGGCTCTCCGAGATGCCAACAGGCAAATTCATCTGCAACGAGTGTTCCACAGGTACAGCAGCTTCCCTGAGCACAGAAGGGCAGAGTGTTTCCTGCCTGCCTACCTGGGGCTTCCTTTGCTGAAGCTCTATGCCAGCAGCAGGGCCACTAACTGCCTGTCAGTCCTTTGGTGACTGGTTTGATTATTCTTTCCTAATCAGTCTTACTGTTAATTCAGGCATGTGGGGTGGGGATGAGAAAGTGAAATTCTTATCTGGGACTAGGGTGGAGAAAGGTGTTAAGGTAGACTGGTCTAGAGCAGGCTGAGTATGGCTCTTGATTTGTTTTTCTTTTCCCCAGCCTGCAATCACAACTATGGTCATTTTTTTATTGTTATTTTTTGTCTGCACTTACATTGCAGCTGTAGGCAAACCCAGCCTGCTGCAGAGACTTGTGCTCTGTGGTGTGTACAGCAGCAGGCTGGGAAGTCGTGCTGTGCTGCCACGCAGCCTGGCAGAAGCGACAGGTTTTCGTGTAGCCTTTCTGTATGACTGGTGTTCCGTCTGCTGCTCTTTCTCCAGGAGTCCATACCTGCTTTGTGTGCAAGAGCTGCGGGGAAGATGTGAAACGGTGCTTGCTGCCGCTCTGTGGGAAGTATTACCATGAAGAATGCATACAGAAATACCCGCCCACAGTCATGCAGAACAAGGGTTTCCGATGCTCTCTGCACATATGCATGACTTGTCATGCTGCTAACCCAGCAAACATCTCTGCGTCTAAAGGTACTGAAATCTTCTGGTGTGGTCCCGGGGAGGCAGGCAGAAGCCTTTTCTTTGTTTTCCTGGTCCACTAGTTCTCGGTGCTGTTTTCCTGTCCTCACCACAGTGCTTGCTGTAGCGTTTGCTTCTCTCAGGGGAGCTGCAGGGGTGGTGTCCGTGCGTGAGGTCGCTGCTCATCAGCACTCCTGATGGCCAGGCGCAGCAACTGAAATGTTCCTGTCTGTCCAGACGCTTGGATGCCTGCACGTCAGGCAATATCACACTCTTCTCTGGATTTTTGAAGCCTCTGGAGCTGTGTGGACACTCTTGTCTTTCTTCTTTGTACTTCTCACTATGCCAGGGCTGCAGACAGTGCATCCTTAGCAGTGGCCATTGAGGCAAGGGCATTAGAGAGCAGCACAGGAAAAATTGTGATACTGTTTTTTCTTTTTTTTTTTCTTTTAAATGCAAACTAATTTTTGTAGAGACACTCTTCACTTAAGCTTCTCAGGCAACTATTTGAGCTGTTTGCTGCAATACCTTGACCTTTATCTCACATGATTAAACTCAAAACTTTAACGTGAGTGCCTTATATGTTTGCTTCTAAAACTGCCTTTCTTTACATCTTTGGTATCTTAAGATGAGTGGCAATAATACCAGCTGTATTTTTGTCCTCAGGCTCTGTGTTACTCTTCTTTCCTTCCACATGTCAGTACTTAGTATGGAAGAAACTATTAGGTAGCTCATCCCTTCCACACTGAATATTTGCCTTGTGTCCCTCTGGCTGTTGCTTTCCAGTGGTCAGATTTACCCCTTTCTTTCCAACTCTTCTCCTTGTTAAGTCTCCTTTGAGGAACCTAAAAGACACTGAGAATTAGAATTAGAATTCTTGGATGAATTAGGCCTGCAGGCAATTTTAAGTTCTCTGTTTGGGACTTTCAGAGTAAAATCTGATAAAGTGGAAGGGCAAGTGTTGATGTTTTCAGAAGCTATGGGGATTGGTTTCATTACATTCAGTTAAGTACTTGGAACACCCACTCTGTAATTAGTGTCTGAGCTGATTTACTAATTATTTGTGTATGATAGGAAGCAGTCCTAGTCTGTGAACTCTTGAACTGTTTCTGCGTATCGTGCAGGAGGCTTTTCACCTCTAAATAATATGATTTTCTACTACATTATATAAAAATAGATCTGTATTTGTATATATATTTCATTTTACTCATTTTTGATGGTCTGTAGAAATTAAAAGCCAATCTCCATTTCCAAAAATCACCTATGGTTGCTTGTTTTGAGCTCAAATATCAATACGGGCTAATTTGGGGAGGAAATGAAAGCTCAGTTCCCTTTAGAGATTCACCATGTTTCTGCTACGTTCTGATGGCAGGCCGCCTGATGCGCTGCGTGCGGTGCCCGGTAGCGTACCACTCCAATGACTTCTGCCTCGCTGCTGGCTCCGTGGTCCTCGCCTCCAACAGCATCATCTGCCCCAACCACTTCACTGCACGGAGGGGCTGCCGCAACCATGAGCACGTCAACGTCAGCTGGTGCTTTGTCTGCTCGGAAGGTGAGATGGTGTCCACTGGGTGCCCTGCTGTCGAGTGGTGCCCTGACATAAATGACAAAAGAGCAACAAAAGTGCTGTGGGAGATCATTATAGCAGGCAGAAGCTTTGCCTGTGCAGAGGGTGCTGGTGAGAACTGCATAGAACAGGCTGCCTTCCTATACGTCCCCATTTAAGTCCAAATTCAGGCTAGGACTTTTTCAGGATCCTTAGAAGGGTTCTTTGTGCAGCACAGGTAGGGCGTGAGCTGTTGAAAAGGGTTTGCAGAAGAGCATCGTGCCCTTCTTCCAGCAGTTTCTGTCTAGAATTGTGTAGTCCAGGGCTTCTGCACAGTGACTTTGATAAATTCCTCCTCCTTTTCTTCGCAGGGGGCAGCCTTTTATGCTGCGAGTCGTGCCCAGCTGCGTTTCACCGTGAGTGTCTAAACATTGAGATGCCAGAGGGAAGCTGGTATTGTAACGATTGCAAGGCAGGCAAAAAGCCACACTACAAGGAAGTAGTCTGGGTGAAAGTTGGGCGCTACAGGTAGGTGAAGGTAGAACAGACTTGTCCCTATCCCCTCTTCATGCAGTGATCATGGTGACTGAGGGGAGAAGCTGCTTGTCTCTGCAGGGTACAGTGCAGCAGTCTCTGACTTTTTTGCATGCATGTAGCAGCTGAAGTGCATGCCTTCTTCCTCTAGTAGCCTCTTCTCCCCCGAGCCTTGCTGGTAGCCCTGTTTTTTTTCCCGTGTCTCTATGAAGTGACATGCTTCTGAGGCCATGGGAGGTGGACAAGTCAGAGGTTTTGGATGCCTTTTCCTCTGTTTTAGGTGGTGGCCAGCTGAGATTTGCCATCCCAGGACAATTCCTGTCAACATCCAGAAAATGAAACATGACATCGGCGAGTTCCCTGTGCTGTTCTTCGGCTCCAAGGATTACCTGTGGACCCACCAGGCTCGTGTGTTCCCGTACATGGAAGGAGACGTCAGCAGCAAAGACAAGATGGGGAAGGGCGTGGATGGCATATACAAGAAAGGTAATTTGTCTTCATCCAGGGAGGTCTGTGTTCTGTTCCTCTTCGTTCCTGTTTGGAGAAGCGATCTTCTTGTAACAAAGAAAAATACCATTTTAGACCAAAAGCTGAATTAAATTTGCGGAATGAGCTGTATCTATCATCATGTACACCTAGAACTTCTGTGGGTCTCCGCTCACAGAGAGGGCACAAGGGTGTGTGGATTTTGAATGTTCTCTAGCTCTGATGTAGCTCCTCTTTCTGAGGAAGCTGCTGCTCTGTCAGCTTCCCTGTGTCTACTACAGTCACTGTCTGTGTATAAAAGTGCATTTGAGAGTTAGGAATTGAAGCTGCCTGACAGCTCTTCCCCAAAACACTCAAAGCTAGCTGACAGCTTGGATGCTGCTTTATCCACAGGCACTGTAACTCCTGTGACTGCCCTGCTGCATTGTCCTGTTCCCCCTGCGACCCTCTGCCTCTGAAAGTATTCTGCCAGGGAGGTTTGCCTGGGGAGCTGTGTGTGCTGGGTGGATCCTGGCAGCCCTCCTCTGTGTGAGCAGGGGGAATTCCTCATAACACACACTGTTATTTCACATAGCTCTTCACGAAGCTGCGGTAAGATTTGAAGAACTGAAGGCACAGAAGGAACTGAGACAGCTTCAGGAAGACAAAAAGAATGACAAGAAACCTCCTCCCTACAAACACATCAAGGTGAGGGCAAGTGAGGGGGGGCAGGTGCAGAAGAGAAGTCCCAAGCTGTTGGTACAGGTGATTTCCAGGTATACAGAAACATTTCTACTGTTTGGGCATCTGGCTACATTTGAAGGTTACTTTGGTCCCCTTGGCATCTTCAGCCATCCTCCACAGAAACAATTCATGTATCTGCAGAGCTGTGTGCAAGCTGAACAGCAGTGATAGAGGTACTCTGCTTTACTGGAACAGATCTGGCCCTCTCCGTGCTGTTCTGTGGCAGCTGTGTGGTGTGAGAGCAGTGTCCCTTCCTTGGGGACTTAAAGGAGAGCGCTGGTACCATCCAGCACGCTCAAATTCTGCGTGGTACTGGTGGCAAGGCAGGCCTCCAAGGTGGTTTGGGATAGAAGATGGTCAGGGTACAGTGGAGCAGAGGGGAGGGTGGTAACCCGCAGTGGAGTGTGACAGTATCTTTGTTTCATCTCTGCTATTGTGGGGTGTTTTTTTTTTTTGGTGGTGGTTTTGGTTCTTTTTGTTTTCTCTTTATCAGTTAAACGGAAACACTAGAACAGATATGTGCTGGAACATCATCCTTTTTGCTGCGTTTTGGGGACATCCAGGTTTAGGGGTGTTTTTTGAGGTAGAAATGGAGCACCAATTTTTTCAAGGAATTCCTACAGGATGGAGGCGATTTGAGAGGAGAGCTAGGGCCAGGCAGGTATATGTGATGGGGCGTGGGCCAGAGTGATCCGAAACCTAGTGACTCAGGGACTGTGTTCCTCTTTTTCATTGCTTCCTTCTGCTACTTCCCTTTTTTACGTGGCAAACTACGAAAGCTTAATTGATTGCTGGCACTTCTTGTTTACAGCTAGACTTTTGAGGCAGACAGGTATGTACTGCGTGAGTGTGCTGTGCAGTGTAAAGAACACAGCTGAATGCTGTGGCAGCAGCACGGGCCAGGCACCTCCAGTGGAAGAAATTAGTTTCTCATTCTAGGTATTTTTAAAGCCTGTCTCTGACTGCAAAACAAAGGAATTTTGGAAAATGTCTTGAGCCTTTGAAATACACTTTTTATGTACCTAATAATGGTTACAGTCACTAGCCGTGGTAGATCTTTGGAGATCTGTGTGCAAGCTGTTTCTGTGAAAGCAAAGGAGACACTTGGCCAGTTCAAGGAATTCTTGGGCAAAGGCTTGAGGATGGAATGGATAAAGCTGGCTGTGTCTGCTTCTTTGCTTGACCTTCTAAGGAGTTCAGCCCCTCAAGGTCTATCCCAAGGAGTGGTAGTGCAAGAGACTGCCCCCAAAATACATTTGGGATCCTTCATCACACCAGGATTAGGACTGTGGCTAGTCCAAGAATTTTGCCCTGTTCTGGAGCTGGTTCCCTACCAACAGTGCCTTGGTGATTAGGGCCATGCCTGCTGGCTGTGCGTGCATGCTGAGGGGCTGATCTTGCTCAGACACTTGTAGTTTAGAGCAGCAAACTAGTATTCTTCCATCTTCCCTCTGGTGGACAGTCCTAATCTTGTGACTCTTTGTTGAAGTGGTGAGCTAACAGTTTAAGTAAGTGTTGGGAAGCAGCAGAGAAGAACATAAAAGCAACAAGGTGAGAGATGGGAGGCAATACTAGGAGAAAGAGAGTGTAGGAGGAGGAGGGGGGACACTGTTAAGAGATTAATCTGAGGGTTCTGCAAGGTTTGCTTTTAAAATTAGAGGGTAAGAGCTTGGCCTGCCTATGGTAGGCTGCCAGTGCAGAAACTGCTGTGTGAGTGGGACTTGAGAAAGTGTGGGAGGGGGAGGGCCGGAATAGTTTTGCTGAACAATCTCCATGTTCTGGGAGAGGAAAGGGACCCGATGGTGTTGCTCGCCTGGGCAAAGAACAGCAAGGAGCTTTTCTTCAGTGTGTCTCCAAAGTCCTGACTCTCTGTTGCCTGCCTTTCAGTGTTCGCTGCCTTTAACCAAAACCAAAGGACCCTGCTCGTGCCAAAGACAAGCCAGTCGCTTCTCCACCTGGTGCTGCACTCTGCTTCCTTCAGGAGCGGTTTTTAGAGAGCTCCTTGGCTTAACTCTGAGCTCCTGTTTGGGCCTTCCAACCCCAACCCTTGTCTGTTTTTTCTTTGATTTACATCTGCAGGAAAGTTAGGGAGCTAACTGCTTGTGGCCTGGTGCGTAGGTAGAGCCTCTGTACTCTGTCACGGGCATGCCAGCCTGGTTCTCCTAGTGACAGCTGAGAGCACAGAACAGCTTGAAGGTAACAGATTCAAAAAATAGGGCTATAAGAACAAAATACAGAGAAGGACCTGACACTCAGAGACTGGAGAAGGTGCTGCTACACCCAGAAAGTGTTCGGTGTCGGTCACTGGTATATTGTGTACCCAGCTAGAGCGCTGGGACATCTGGGCTGGATTTGGTGACAACGGTGATGGGAGGGGGACATTTTTCAACCTCTCCCCACTCTGGGGATGCAGAACACACACGGTACCAGGTGGTGCTAATGGGGGACCTGCATCCTCCTTAGCTCTTCCCTCTAAACATTCACTTCTTGAAGTAGTGTGCACAGAAAAAAAAACAAACATATGTGCCTGTGTGTGTGTCCTACCCCTCGGTGTAACTTGCACTGCAGCCTGTCGGCTCGTGGGCAAAGGTTGAGCACAGAAGCGTGTGTTGTGATGGCCTTTCTTAATTAGCTAACATCCTCCTTGTGCATTCAAGGTGAACCGGCCGGTGGGTAAGGTGCAGATCTTCACTGCAGACCTGTCTGAGATACCACGGTGCAACTGTAAGCCAACAGACGAAAACCCCTGCGGCCTGGACTCTGAATGCATCAATCGCATGTTGCTCTACGAGTGCCACCCCCTGGTCTGCCCCGCAGGGGAGCGTTGTCAGAACCAGTGCTTCTCTAAGCGGCAGTATCCCGAGGTACAAATTTTCCGCACTCTGGCACGAGGCTGGGGCTTGCAAGCCAAAACAGACATCAGAAAGGTACGTGCTCTGCTGCTGCATGCAGCTTTCTCTTGCCACTTCTCTCTTGCTCAGTGTCAGTTTTAATAGATTTGAAAAATTGTCTTCTGTAATTTGAAAGACTTTGTTGCTATAAAATGCTGTTCAGGAAAGAAATGGATTAATTTTTTACTATCCTACAAGCATGTTTTGGCTCAGCTAACTAAGAAAATGGTTCATGTTAATTTCCCACAGGATAAGAAAGATGATTGCATAATCTGTCTGTAAGGATGGTGGATGTTATGAATATACCAGAATGCTGACCTAAAAACTACTCAGAATTTTCGGGTGGGGAACAGTGATTACACCCATGCCCCCAGTTCTTGAATAGCAAGGCTCTTGTAGTATAAGTCTTGTATCACAAACTGAGACCAAGTCTTGGCACTTACAAAAGAGTAATGTCTCAGAGATGGCTATAATTATTGTGGAAAGTAGTATCTGCATGCAGCTAAAGCACTTGTATGCATATTTTAAATCCCAAGAGTAATTATTCTGTGTACACACATCCATGCTGAATGAAGAAGGAAGAGCTTTCCAGCAAAGAGAACCCCAAAGCTAAGAAAGAGTGAAGTGACACAGAGGGCCATAGACAGCATAGTAGGAGAAGAATGTTTGAAAAAGGAGTAGAAGAGATAACAGGTGGTCAGGGAAGGCTTGATATCTGTGGGAAAAATGCAAGTCTGTCCTGTTTAGGCTTTGCTGCCTGCTGTGCTGTAGGTTAGAGGGTCTCTTTGCCATTTCATGCACCTTATATTTCACTTTTAACAGACAGTCTGGAAAAAGCAAAGCTCAATTATTTAATGGAGGCACCTGTTGGCACCAATGGAGCAGAGCTGAGGTTCCCTGTAATGGTCTTTGTAGTACTTAGTGCAGGTGAACACCACAGATTTACTGCAGGAGCAGGTGCCCTGGGTGTTTCATTCTCAGCGTGGTTGGTCCCCCAAAGGATGTTGTTCCAGCTGGAACGCAGTTATGCAGTGCCTTGAGCTTTGCAGAAGAGAACTATGCTTGTGATTTACTTCATGCTGTCCCTGAGTGTTATTTCTGTCTATAGTTGTTGTTGCTTTATTTAATTTATTTCAGGTTACTTGTTTCTGTGTGTAAAATGGATTTGTAATTCAGGGCTCTTATTGAAACCGTAGGTCAAACCGACTGCAAAGCACAGAGGAAGATTATGAAAAAAAATTCCAGAAAGGAAACGGGAACTAAGTTTTAGCACAAAGATGGATGTCCCTCCATCTCAGAGGGAATTTGTCATATCTTATCAGCCTGTTTTCTCTGTGGCAGGGTGAATTTGTTAATGAGTATGTTGGGGAGCTAATCGATGAAGAGGAGTGCCGAGCCCGAATCCGCTATGCTCAGGAGCACGACATCACCAATTTCTACATGTTGACACTGGATAAGGTATGTGGAAGGAGCTTCTCTTGTCAGAAGCCTAGCCAGAAGTAAAATGATTGCAAGGTAGGCATGATAGTGCTCTTCTCCAGCAAGTAAAAAGGTGCTAAGAGACACTGATGAGCTGGTCTGCATTTCCACTTGTGGAAATGAAGACTGAAAGAATGGACATAATGTGCCGTGGAGAAGTTTCAGATTGGACCTTAAGATCAGGAGCAAAGTATGAACCAGCTTCCTTGGTGTTTATTCAGCCCTGACATTACAGAGAGTGCTAACTTCCCAGCAAGCAGTGGTAGTGCTTTCATGGCTGTTCAGGAGGCTGTGCCCCTTTTAAGATGATGATGATATTGGGCAGGAGTCTGTATCGCTGCATGTTCTGCCAGGTCTGATCAGAGACATCAGTGTGGAAACTGATCAGCCATCTGTTGATTGTCCAGGCAACAGAGCGACTGCCACCTGCACTTAACACTTGGTTAAAACCTGTTTGCATACTCAGGTGCTTTGCAAGATGTCCTGATGTCCAGAGACCAGATGTCTTGGGTGTTGCGCTTGTCACTACTGAAAAAGACTTCATTGGCACACCGGTACCTCTGCTGCAATGGCTTGAGTGGGCTGTGGCAGTTATTAAACGTGCTTTTTTGCAATTCCAGGATCGAATCATTGACGCTGGCCCAAAGGGCAATTACGCTCGGTTCATGAACCACTGCTGCCAGCCAAACTGTGAGACTCAGAAATGGTGTGTGAATGGTGATACTCGGGTTGGGCTCTTCGCAATTGTAAATATCAAAGCTGGTAAGGAACCCCATTCTGTCAGTACCTGCAGTTAAAAGCTTGGGAACCTTTCTGTAAGGAAAGGAGGGGAGAGGAGGGTATGTAGCTCACTTGGGGAGATGCTTAATTTTTCTGTTTCCACACTTAATTTTTCTAATTTCACATCAGCTACAACATCAGCACTGCCATTGTGGAACATAAACATCCATGCTATAAATGGAGGTCCATAGATTTAATTTATAGGACCAAGAAATGGAACTAAGCATCCTAAAGTATGGGACAGAATGCCCTTTTTGGCTGTAGGATATTGTAGGAGAGTGAGGTTAATTCTCAATTCACACAAATCGATGTGGAGAAGAATATTTGGTACCCTTCTGTAGTTGGGACAGTCGTTTATGTTGTTTTATTTCAAAAGTGCTTTTACTCCAGCAGTAGCAATAAGGCATTCTGCCACAGAGTTTGTTACAACTTCTTTGGGTTTTAATCTGCTTTTGTGCCAGGGACTGAGCTGACTTTCAACTACAATCTGGAATGTTTGGGAAATGGAAAGACAGTTTGCAAATGTGGTGCTCCAAATTGCAGTGGCTTCCTAGGAGTGCGGCCAAAGGTATGATGCCTCCCTTAAGCTTTTGTTCTTCCAAATGACCTTTTTGCATAGATGTGGTGCATTTGTTGCAGAGATTTTGGGAAGGGTAGTCCACTTTCAGCATGGTCGTGAGAACACTGCTTGAACTGAGATGAATGTTGAAATTACTGTTCTGGGAGTGCAGATCTGGGGTCTGAATTTGCTGAAGAGGTGCTCCAACCGAAGAGTAAATAAAAGTGTTCTTTTTTTCAGAATTTTTTGTTTGTTATCATGGCAATTTCAGTCATGCTAGAGCAGCAAAAGATAGACACAGGAAAGAGTTCTGTTGGATGACCAGGAAACCTCTGCTCAGCCCATTTCCCTACATGAAGGCCTGAGTAAATTGTGAGAACGCATGGGAGGCCAGCAAACTCACATTCCTTTAGCTCCAAGTTCCTTTAGAGCTAGAAGGCTTCTGCATCACTATCTTTAATTAGAATGCTATGAGCAAGTTCCCAGATTTTGAATTCTCTTGTTTAAGTGATTCAAGTGTACATATCAGACAGGAATAATACATTTGACACGTCTGTAGTAGAAAAATCACTACATTTGAGAACTCACTGACTTCAGAGAGCTGTGTTTTGTAACTGCAGTGTCGCAGTAACAGGAATTGATTTCTGATACCTTCTTGTGAGCTGGTTCTCACTGGGAAAAGGAAATAACAGAAGCATTTGGCCCAGTTCCCAGCTGTCACCAGCTAAATCTGTCTCAGCTGTTGGTTTGTTTCAAGAGCTTCACCAAATCAGTCTGTAATCCTTCTGCTCTGGCATGTCGATACCGGCAGCTTACCCACAGTTAAGGGTTAAAAGCTTCAGCAGAATGGTTGTTAAGCCCTGGCAATACATAGGGTAGGTTTGCAAATTTCCCAGAGAGCTTAGTTCTGCAGACAAATTAACTTATGAAAAAATGATGTCTTCAGAGGTTGACAGATGAGTTGAATTATACATCTGGTGTGTTTAGTTCTTTTTTGGTTGTGATTTAAAGTTCAATTTCTTTTGTGCTGCTCCTGTGTTATACATGGCTTGACTACTGTCATTTTTGCCCTGAAGTTACAGGTTGCATGGTGGAAATCAGAGAAAGGTGCCCTTAAATTGGCATTAATGTTCCATTGTGGTGACTGAGGTGATTTCATCTTGATGAGGTGGGCTAGGAAACAATGCCCAAGCAAACAGTACCTTGGTGGTATTTTTTGTCTAATTCATCCAACAAAAGATGCATTTTTCAAGATTCCTGACGATACAGCAAGACAAAACTTCAATGATTATATACTCAAGTTAACAGTTAAGTGACTTTTCTAACTAGGAATTCAGAAGAACACTCTGGAGTCTGATGTACTGCAGTAGAAAAGTAAGAAATGCTAGAGTTGCTTAGATATTCAAATTAACTGTGAAACGTTTTCTTTGTTCTCCTTGTAATTAAGTGCTAGGTGGTGAGAATAGGTGAGATAGTTTAGGTATGGCCTTCGGACTGATTTGATTTCAGTCACCTGGGTGATTTCATTATCTGCATTTACAATGATAAGAAAGGCCTGACCTGTCCCTACTGTTAGTGGAAATGATGGTATGAAATCAGAAATACTCTGTATGTGAAGGGGAAGCAAACATCAAGGTATGTAACACCCTCATGACAGGGCTACTGGATAGTCCTGCAGAATTCTTAAATTGTAGCTCTGGAGACAAAGGTTCTAAAAAGACGTTGGTTTTATCTTGAGAGAAGGATGACAAAAATAGTGCCTAATGTTTATGAAGAATAAAGGCACGCAAAAACCACCTCACAGGCTCCAGTCTCAGCATGCAGAGATGTTCTACATGCAGAACACGCGTTTGGACATAAAGAATAGGTGGAAAATGGGATAAAATTTAGCGTGTGTCAGTTTATATAAAATAAATTGGTAGTTCTTTGATACTGTCATTATCTGCAGGAACCTGAGTGTTTGGTACAATGGGAGGCTTATCCTGGGGAGGATCAGTGCAGGGGATTAGGAGGACCTGGCTTGAAAGGGTGTGGTGTGGGACATTGAAAGAAGAAGCCTTAGGCTAGGGAAAAGAGCATTTAGGCCGTTTAGATGTCAATCTTGGGACCGATTGTGGTTATTCCATTACTGCCTGTAATACAGATGTTGGAAGCACAGGAACTTAAGTGTACTGATAACACAAAGGTGTCTGGTGCCATCAGCATGGAGACAGTTGGGCAATTGCAAAGTACTGGAAATGGGCTGAAATTCAGTGATTCAGTGCTCCAGAGTATACCTGGAGGATAATAGAAACAAAGCTACAGTAAGGTCATCAATGGAAGTAATGTGGTGGAGAAGGAGCCGCGGTGGTGTTCAGCCCAGGACTGTGAGCTGCTGTTGCGAACAAGGAAATGCAGTCAGGGTGCTCTGTAATACTGAGAGGTATTCATGGCACTGTACGTGGCCCTGGGAGACATCACCCAGAGCAGTGTCTGTAGTTCTGTAACTTGTGTTTGGGAGAAATGAACTTGAGAGAGGCAGAAGAAAGCCGTTAGGAAGATTGGGGGTGAAGACTGGAAGTGTTGGCTTGTGAAGAGGAGGGAGAAGCCTGGTGGTTACTTCAGGGAGGGAGAGTGACATCTGTGGGAAGAGAACAGTGTTTACATGAAAACAGGTTGAAACTGATCATGAATAAACTCAGGCTGAAAATGATGATGGGGGTGAGAAACACTAGAAGTCCAGGGAGGCCTGGGGAGAGGTTCCTGTGAGGGTCAGAGTCATGGGGAGACAGACCCAACTGCACTGACAGAGGCATCTGTGAGAGGTGGCACGACCTCATGGCACCAGGCAGGCCTCGGCTCCTCACCCTGCTGTTGCTAATTGCACACACACGCTGCATGTTGAGCCGGGCTTTGGTGCAGGGATTCCGGACTCTTTCCTCAAAAATGAGAACTATTTACTTGAGTGAATTGGTTGCCAAACACTAAGAACCACCATAGAGGTACTTGATGTGCTCAGGTGTAGCTGGCAGTGGGATGTTTGATCACATCCCGCGGGGCAGTCACAGGGCTGGCAGTTTTCTGTGCTGAATCAGGAAGAGGAAGGATGTCGGGGGCTGTGTTAATGTGTTGTCTCCCCCGCAGAGCCAGCCCACCCTCACCGAGGAGAAGTCCAAGAAGATGAAGAGACGGCCGCAGATGAAGCGCAGGTCGCAGGCAGAGGTGATGAAGGAACGGGAGGACGAGTGCTTCAGCTGCGGGGACGGAGGGCAGCTGGTTTCTTGTAAGAAGCCAGGCTGCCCCAAAGTGTACCACGCCGACTGCCTCAACCTGACCAAGAGGCCTGCAGGTCAGTGCAGCCCAGCTGTGCTCTGCTGGGGGAGCAGGACAGGGCACGGGCTCCCAGGCACTGCTCTCTTCACAGCCTCTGCAAATAGGAGAGAGTTTTCTCTCTTAAATAGGCCTCGTGGCCCACAAGGCATGGCCCTGCTTTGTGCCATGCTGTGGCTGCAGGCACGTTGGTTACTGAGCCATCCTTGGGGCCTGGCAGAGAGCAGGCCCAGCAAGAGTCAGTTCCTGCTGGCTTTCCAAAGCTGCAGACGACTGAGTGAAAAGAATGAGGAGGAGAAGCACTGGTGGAAAATGGCAGTTAAAGAAGAAGAATGTGCTGCATGTCTTAACTAGCCACCAGTCCTTTGTTAAGGAAGGAAACAGTATCAAAGAATCTCCTAGTTAGTGGTGAAATGAGGGCAAAAAAATAAAGTACAAAGTTAAAAAAAAAAAATCCCCAAAGTACTTGTAGTTGTGTATGGAGAAAGAAACAGGCAATCTGTATGAGTGGTAAAACGTTTTCTAGGTTGTTAGTAACTGAGGAGTAAGTAACATCTATTAGAGGAAAAGGCTTAAATTGCATATAAAAGTCTTACAGGAGTTGGTTGAGGGGAACGTTTCCTCTGTTCCAATAATTTTTGGTTACTGCAGAAGTTCATGGGACCTTCAATGAGTGTTTAGGTTTAACTGATACTCAGAAAGGGAAAAGTCTGACCTGAGTCTCGGTTAGCCTGACAAGGGATCAAGTACTGTAGAATTAAATGGTAAGAATATAACCAATGCCATATAAGTTTTTGAAGCAGAATACCTCAGCAAAACACTTAAGTAGGCTTGATGAAATTATAAATTCAGTTAATAAAGGGATTCGCATTGAAGTAATTGGTTTAGGGAGTTGTAACACTTCTGATTTAATACTGTAAGCATCATCATTATTAGAAATCCTCTCTGAACACACCTGAGGCAGGCTGGAAGCGTGTAACCAGGTCTCTGAAGCCACCTGTCAGGAGAGTGGCTGCAGCAGGGCTTCTGCTGGAGCTCCGCAGGGAGTCAGAGCTCAGCATCCAACACCTTCAGCTGTGACTAACAGAACATACACAAGTGCTAGCAACATATTCTGTAGATAGCAGAAAGTGTGTGTGTGTTAAGTTTTGGGGAGAATTATGTATTTATACAGAGTAGCTTGGGTTGAGCACTGAACAAATGTGATGTAAAAGCCTGCAAGGAGCACAGGTCCTTCCTGTGGAAACAATAACTGAGGGTGAGAGTGTCCTAAACATCACCTTTCTATTCTCATTTTTTGTGTGCTAAGACAGGACGTTCAAACATCCTGGCAGGCTTTCTCATGTGCTTTAGATTCTTCTTTATTGGAGGCTTTAGCATTTAGCCTGTTCTCTGGGTTTCCATTGGAAAAGCTTCTCCTAAGAGACTGAAGTGAAAAAACAATGGGTTGCCACCTCCCCGCTATCCGTTCTTCTGCATACTGGAGGACTCTTATCTCCTAAGTGCATTTCCAGATGAAATGAACAGCCTTTCCTTGCAGCTCTTATTTTTCTGAAAATTATTATTCTTGGTGTGTTCTGGAATGTGTCCCATTTCCCTTCGTATTTTTTTTTTTTGTTAACTCTGGTAACATGTATTTTTAACAGTATTGCAACTGAGATTGTGCTCAACTGACAGAACAGAATATTATTTTGTGCTTTACATAAAATTTGTCAGGAAATGAGATCCGACTTGCTTAGCAAAAATACCTTTATATTCAGTTTGTGATTTGCCCTATCATCCTTGAGTCGTGTTGTCTTGATCTTCTTCACATATTTATTCTATTTCTTCCTCCTACAATCCTTCTTCGCCCTGCTCTTGCTTTACTTAATTGCACCTTGTTGGTACAAGAGCATTTGTCCGGTTTATCGATACCAAATGAATTCTGAGCTTGTCTAAGCAGATTCCTGCAGTTCCTCCAGGACCGTGCAGATAACCACGAGGCTGTAAGAGTACTTGGTATTCTGCTTCCAGAAATGAAAATTAAAATATAGGCTAAATTAGACTCCTGAAGCACCTCATTTGAAAAGACTCCTAGCTTTGCCAGAAGACCACTAATAGCTGGTTTTGAGAACAATTTTCAGCCTTTTGTAACCCTTTTACCATTTTTATACGTAGGCAGTTATTTTCCTAGCTTGTTCCTTGGAATATATATACATATATACAGGACATCAAAGGTTTGTCTCTTTTATACTTCAAATATTTCTTCTGTCATGGGCATTGCTGTTAAGTAATTGGAATTTCCTGCTTGTTTGCATGTTACTAATGGTGCGATCCTGCTTCCAGGAGCTCCTCAGCTCTGGGCTGTCTCTGGAGAGACGGTTATTCATTAGCCTTTTTATCCTGTCAGAGACCATTAGAGTGGGTTTGATACGATTTACCCGTCCTGAAACACACTGGCACTTTTTGACTGACTTTATTTTCCGTCTGTACAAGCGACCTCTTAAATAATTCCAGAATCTTTCCGCTGGTCAAAGTGAGTGTTCAGAGTGGCTGCTCTCTGCTCAGCAGCAGTGCACCACGAGAGCTCGCCCTGCCCTGCGGTGCGAAGGGGCTCAGTGCACACCGACGGGGAGCAGTGATATAACCCACGCTGCAGCACCACGAGCCTGAGACAGGGGAGAACACATGTAATTTTAAACAACCCTGCCCTGAAAATGATGTCAAGAAACTGGAAAAGGCACACAGAATCTGTGTACATATTTAAGACCAGAACAGAAGCCTTGGACTGGCTTCAAAGGAGGGGAAAAACTTACTGCGTGTTTTCTTCAGCCCAGGGGGAAAAGCAGCAGGAGAGGGGGGGAGTGGAAAGCTGATGTTGCACAACAGCACCAGGAGATGACCACAGCTGCTCAGCGCGGTGCTGCAGCCTGCCAGCCTCTGCAAAAGAGCTGGTAGCAAAAACCACGGGTATGTGGGCTTGGTTCAGAGCGGTGGGAAGTGCTCTGCTGGTGCCCACGGCTGCCCTCTGCCGCTGCTTGTGCAGATGCCCGTGGCTGTGCTCAAGGTGCCGGGGGGCTGCCATGCAAGGAGCTGCTCTTTGCAGCAGGATGAGGAGCCAGGGGGAGCACGGGGCACTGAGGGGAGCACAGAGGCAGAAGAGAGAGTCTTTGGAAAGGCAGCCACGCTGATCCCGTGGTGAGAGGGCAGAGCCTCTGCCTTGTGTGCCCTGGGTACAAGTGGTCCCTCAGGGCCTTAAAGCTGATGAGAAGCTTTTGGCAGAGACAGCAGCAGCCTTGGCTGAGGGGAGCAGGGAGCTGGACCGATGAGATCCAGCTTCAAGTGGAGGAAACAATCTCTCTGCTGTCATGCTGACTTGCTTATTTGTTTTCCTCCATGATGGCGTTGATACTGGTGGTGAAAAGATTCCGTGTGGGCACTGAGCTGCTCGGGGCACAGCTTGGCTTTATGATAAGAAGCGTTTTTATCATGTCCGTGCACAGGGTTAAAGATGTCTTTGGGTATGGAGACAAGAGAAACCTGCTCCCTGATGTCCTCTGCTCTCTGAGCACTACTTTGTGATAAACAGGAAGGGAGGATGTTGGCCCAGAACTAAACAAAGACTTAAGACGAACCTGAAATATCTACTTAAAGTCTGTTGGGTGTATTCTGCGCAGATACTGTTGCTCTCATCTGGAAACAGGAGACACAGAGAAGTACAAGCTGGGGCTGTCTTCTTTTCCCGAGGGACCCGTACTGGTTTGTGTCATACTGGAGCCAGATGGACTTTCGGTCCGACCTGGCAGAGCTTATGTTTGTTGCAGTTATGATTTCCTGTGTTGCTTCCAAGGATGCAGATTCCTGTTAGCTGCCCTTCTAGCCTAGGAGCTATGGCAGGATCTGAGAAGAACGTGTAGAATTGCATCGGAGTCTTACAGGGGCGTTGCCTCTTGCCCTCAAACTCTTTGCAGCAGGCCTCGTTATCTTCCCTTTATACCACTGCTAAGTTCTGTCTTTTCTCCTGTGTTTGTGCTGCAGGAAAATGGGAGTGCCCGTGGCATCAGTGTGACATGTGCGGTAAGGAAGCGGCTTCCTTCTGCGAGATGTGCCCCAGATCCTTCTGCAAGCAGCACCGGGAAGGCATGCTCTTCATCTCCAAGCTGGACGGACGCTTGTGCTGCACAGAGCATGATCCCTGCGGCCCTAACCCCCTAGAGCCAGGAGAAATCCGTGAGTACGTGCCTCCCATGGGAGCACTGACTAACGGCGATGACCCCCAGCCGGCAGAGCAGCCGCCTGCAGACACAGACCTGAGCGTGCAGCCTTTGGACAGGCTACCTCAGCCTCCGGCCTTCAAACTGCAGTCCCCAGAAAAGCCCCCCTGCCACCCTAGCGCTGCGGCTGCCGCCGTCAGACAAGCCCCCCACCACCCTAGCCCTGAGGCTGCAGCCCTCAAACAAGCCCCCCACCACCCTGGCCCTGCGGCTGCCCCCGCCAGACAAACCGCCCGCCGCCCTGGCGCTGAGACTGCCGCCCTCCAACAAACCCCCCACCACCTTGTCGCTGAGGCTGAAGCCGTCCAACAAACCCCCCACCACCCTTTCCCTCCGGCTGCAGCCCTCGGACAAACCTCCCACCACCCTCTCGCTCCGCCTGCAGCCGTCGGACAGGCCCCAGGCTGCCCTGTCCCTGAGGCTGCAGTCGGAGAAGCAGCCCATCATCGTCGCGCTGAAACCTCAGCAGCCCGACAAACCTCCCGCCAACGCCGTGCTCTGGCCGCTGGACGAGGCTCCCAGCGACGCCTCGCAGCCTCCTCTGCCCAGCAAATCTCCGGGCAGCCCCCAGTCGTCGGACGAGGCGCTCGGTCCTGCCGCTGCCCTGCAGCTCCAGCTGTCGGAGGAGCCTCCTGCCGCCGCTGAGGTTTTGGAGCTAGCGGACAAGTCGCTCGGCGACAGCGGGACCCAGCAGCCCGAGCTGCTGGATGAGTTTCCGACAAAATGCCTGCACCCTCAGCTGGCGGACAGACTTCTCGCCACGGCAGGGACCCTGCAGGCACAGCCCGTGGACGAGGCTCCCGTGGCCGATCAGCCTCAGCTGCTGAGCAAAGCTGCTGCCCAGAGTCTGCAGCCTCAGCCCGCGGAGAAGGCTCCCAGCTCTGTGGTGCAACACGCCCCGGCACCGGAGGAGGTTCCCAGCCCTGGGGTGCTGTGGCCTCTGCCCGTTGAAAACGCCCCCAGCTCCCCGGTCTCACGGATCCTGCCCACGGAGAAGGTTTCTGGACTGGGGGGGCCGCGGCCTCCACCTCCAGAGAAGGCTTCCTTCTCCGGGGCAGCAGCGGGTTTTGGCCACGGAGAAGGCTCCCGGCTCCGGGACACCCCATCCCCTGCCTGCAGAGAAGCCTCCTGCCTTGGGGATGCCGCGGATCCTGCCCACAGACAAGGCTCCCAGCTTAGGGGTGCCACGTCCGCTGCCCCTGGAGAAGCCCCACGGCTCCCGCTCGCCCCACGTCCTGCCCATGGAGAAGGCTCTGGGTTCGGGGGCCCTGCGGATCCCCGTCACGCAGAAAGCTCTGAACCCCGGCGTGCTGCGGCCCCTGCCTCCGGAGAAGGCTCCCGATGCCGGGGCGCTGCGGGTCCTGCCTCCAGAGAAAGCTCCGAGCTCCGGGGCCGTTCGGCCTCAGCTCCTGGAGAGGCCCCTGGCTCTTACAGCCCCGTGGCCTCAGGCCTCAGACAAGCTGGCTGCCGCCGTGGCTCCTCGGCCCCAAGTTTTGGAGAAGCCCCCGGCCGCATCGGCCCCGAGGCTGCTGCTGTCGGAGAAGGCTCTGCGGCCCGTTGACCAGAACGCCCAGCCCAAGGAGAGGGCAGCGCCCGCCGCGGAGCTCAACCCCCAGCAGAAGGAGAGGACCCTGTTAGCCAGCGAGCAGATCTCCTGGTCGGTCGGGAAGGCGGTGCCGCACGTCGGACAGTTACCTTGGCCCACGGAGAAGCTGCAGACACACGAGCAAAGCCACTGGCCCGCCGCCAAAGCCCTGACGCCTGCCGAGCAGTCACCCCGGACAGCGGAGAAGCTACCGGAGCCGACCCTGCAGCCTGTCTGGGAAGTGGCCTCAGCCCCCGCCGAGCAAACCCCTTGGACATCAGAGAGATTGCGTGCGTTCGAGCAGACCCCCCGGCCTGCCAGGGAAGCGCCGGTGCCCCCGGAGCAGACGCAGTGGATTGTCACAAACATTCAGACTCTTGACCAGATTTCTTGGCTGGCTGGAAAAGTACATACTCCTCGGGGGCAGGACCCTTTGCCTGAACAGAACGCAGCGCTAGCCCGTAACCAGGATTCTGTCTGTCACGAATTGGCTGACTCAGAGCCAAAGTGAGGTCGGTGAACATGGGAGGCAGGTTTCAGTCTTTTAATGTTTAGGGAGGGGGATTCTTTGTTTTGTTTTCTTTATTCACTTCCCTGAGCCCAGCCCCTAACCCATGCACATCCCATCCATATTCTCTCGTGACGTGAGCAAGGACATTCACTTTCAGTCTGAGTGTGGCCCAGCCAAAGGGAGAGAGCATCCGTGAGCTTTTCCTCTTCCTTTTGCGAATGGTAAAGCTGAAATAAAGAGTCCACTCTGGGTAAAACCTCAAATTCCACTGAAATGGTCACATTACTGATCCAGCGTGTTCAAGCTCCAGGTCCAATTCTTGGGCAGGTTCCCGCGTACAGCGAGGGGCCTCGCCCTGTCTAACTGTATTTAGAGGAAGCAGATCCGTCAGGCTGCCCCGGGATCGGAGAGGTTTCAGGGCTCGGATGGTGAGCAGCCAGGCGCGTACTCTCTTGCCGACCTCTGCGGAGGCAGGGAAGGGGTTTATCTGTCTGCCCTGCGGGGTTTTGCTTTGCGAGGTTCTGTCCGTGTGTTCACCGGGACGTGCTGCGTGCGCGGCGCGCCAGGGACAGGCGTGGTGCCGGCTGTTAGGAGAGGAGCCTCCCGCACCCGCTCGCTGCGGTTTTCTCCAGCAATAGGCAGTATCCACGGAGGCTCCTCGATACAAAGCTGCGACTGCCCAGGCCCCAGGAGCGGGGAATCTGAAGGAGGTCAGGGAACAAGAAAGATCTTGGAAGAAGCCATCTGGCGGGTTTTTCCTTCTTGTGTCTTCACTCTTTAGCGCGGGACACGCGGCGTGCTTCCTGCCAACACCCAGACCTGTAAAGCAGCAGTAGCAGAGGCAGGCAGAGGGACTTCCCCCGGTGCTGTGCTGGTGTCGGTGCTCCCCTTGACGTTTCCATCCAGTCTCTCGGTGACTCGTGCCAGCACCGTGAGCCAGCAGCCTCGCGTGGTCTTTTCTCCCCTCGCCTCGGACGCGTTCAGGACGTGCTCGCATCCCACCAGGTCTTCCCGGCAGCGTGGGGCGTTGCAGAGCTGCAGTCGGAGCCTGTCGTTGACTTTGCAGCGCGGGGGCGAGGGTGCTGTGTGTGTTCAGGACCCGTTCTGCACCTTCCCCTCGGGTAGCTTCCAGCTTCGCTCACCTACAACCAAAGGAGACTTGAATTAACTGGACTGTGTCGGTGTGCGTGTGTGTGTGTGCGCGTGTGTGTCCTTCCGACCCAATCGTAGTTCTCACACTGGAACACGGGGCTCGAGCAGCTGCCTGGCTTCTTTCCTCTTCGCCCTTTTCCGGCTGAGGAGCCCTTCTGTCACCCGGTGGGTGTCCAGCCTGCCGCGAGCAGCTCGCCCCAGCGTTGGGGCAGAAGCTGGGGGTGAGTCCCAGAGGAGCAGAGCGGCGTCTCGCAGCGGGTGCCGTGCGCCAGCGCTGCCCGTGCAGGCAGGAGGAGGACGAGTGGCACAATGCAGTCAGCGCCCTGCTGGAGGACACGTTGCTGACCCGGCCGTTCTCCCACCACCTTTCCTCTGGTTTTTCTGAGCTCTGCTGATCGGGGTGCCGCAGCCTCAGATCTCAGTGCCCACCACCAGGTTTTTGTGTGGTGCCGGAGACCCCCTCCCTTGGGGGCAGAGGTGCAGGACCCTCCCCAGACAGAGCTTGGCTCCGGGCTGACCCTTTCCTTCTGACCTGGGAGCGCATCCCTGGGCTTGCAGGTGCTTGCTCGCTGCTCTTGGAGCTTTGCTGTTTTCTACGAAGGGAGGCAGGCGCATGTACCAAGACAAATCCCGATCCGTTCTCCTTTCCTTACGTGTGCACCCCAGGACAACGTCCTGCTGTAAAGCCCGGGTGTGCTGGGCACTGGGGGCGTTCCCCGTGCTGTGGTGCATCTCTTCTAGTCCGCATCATTTCAGATCCTTTGTAGAATAGCTAGCGACTTCAAAAAAAAGCTTTACGGCTTATGGAAACTTGCTGATTAATGATGTTTTTTCCGGGAAGACTGGCAGGTCAGTTCCTGCTCGCTGCTGAAACTGGGGAAGTGCAAGCAGCTTGTGTTTCTGCGTGACTCCTGCAGAAAGGGAATCAGGACAACTCCTCAGAGCCGTTGAGAGAGAAGGTAATCTAAGGGCATTTAACTTTTTTAAACAAACAAAAAAATAAAATAAAAATGGTAATGAGTTTCAGTATATTAAGTATTTATCATGTGTGAGAAGGAAAATAAACCTCGAATTCACATTTATAGGCCTTCCCATGAGCTGGACGTAGTCATGTAGAGTATATAAGTAGGGTCAGCTCCGTGCCAGCCGCCCAGCCAGCTACAGCTGTAAGAGAGGTGTCTGCGCTGCTCTGCCCAGCTCCGCTTTGCGTCGTCACGTGCTAACTAGCTACTCGTCTCATGAAAATTAAACTGTGAATATTTTTGGTGCAGGCTTTTTTCAATCTGTAAAATGGAGAAGTTCTCAGTGAGTTCTCGTAAGTGCAGGTTTGAAAAATCACTTCTGTAAATCGTGTGCTCAAACAGCAGGGCGAGGTTCACGGCCGCAGAAGCCTTTCACACAGCACGTGGGTTATCCGAAAGCTTGTTCTGAGCAGTGACCGTGGGTAGAACTGTTGCATGGCATTTCAAACCCACAGCCTTATACCTTGCATCTGACCGTACCCCACCTCTCTTCGCTCCCTTCATGCCTTTTCTGCAAAGATCCAGGTTTCTGACTTGCTCCCTTCCACTTACATGTTGGAAAGCTGACTCCAGCAAGCTGCTCTTCCCTCCCAGCCCTTGTGGGTAGTTCTCTGCCAGACCAGGAGGGCTTCTGAGATGTGCGCCGGGCTCTGTGCATGCTCGTGGCCTGAGGTGGGGAGGTCAGTCCATGAAGTCCTGCTGCTCCCAGCTCTGCCTTCACCTGGGGGTGAGCAGCTTCGGGCAGTGACACCCCCGCAGAGAAAACGGCTGTTTCAGCACTCGGGTGGCAGCTGGTGGCACAGCCTTGGAGCAGGAGAGGTGTGTACTGAAGCAGTTTGGTTCATTTTCTGCCTTGCAGAGTTCAGCCAGTTTGAGTCACAGATTCTCTTGGTGTAGAAGAGGGCGGCAGGTAACTCGTACCCCTGGTGGGCTGCTCGTGCAAGGCTGGAGGAGGCTGAGGTTGGCAGCTGTGGCACCTTGGTGGTGTGTTGGCGTGCTCCGAAGCAGGTGAATCGAGGGCAGTTGTGATCCTCGTTCAGAGCAGCTTCCCTTTCCCTGGCGTCTCAGGGAGGCTCACGTGAACTTCCAGCAGCAGTCCCCTGGTAGGAACGGCTCTCCCTTCCCGGTGGAGAAAGGGCTGAAAGCGGTCACAGCTTCCAGCCTGCTTCTCCTGGCAGCGTGCTTGCTGCTGGGGCTGCCCCTGCTTTGAACACTGTGCTGGGGTCACTGTCCGTGGCCTCAGCCCCATGGCACGGCTCAGGTCAGTGCCCCACCACGAGCAGGAGAGCCCCAGTTCCCCTCTGCTGGTGGAGGAGCTCTTCGGGTGGGTACCGGCAAGGTGAGGGGCCTCATGTGGGAAGAGATCACCAAGGGATAATCCCCTACCCTGTACCTTCTGATGCTGACTAGCTCACGGTAGCTTTCTTTATTGCTGTTCACAAGCTAAAACTTTTCCTATTTAAAAAAAAAGAAAACAACAAAGATTCACTTCTGTGCACAAACTCCAGGTGTTGCGGTGGGCGCATGCGTTACGATTGGGGTTAAACCCACCCCCCTACAGGCACGGGGCTTTAAGATGGGATCAGATACCTGGTTAAACCTAAAGAGCAGGCACTAGCAAGGCGAGATGTGGGCTTAGGGTGCCAGAGGAGCTTCAGCTGTGTTTCACGGGAAGAAGGACGACGAGCAGCAGCCCTAACCCCAACGCATCGTCAGCTGCTCGCAGCGGGTGCTGCAGCAGGGCGGAGGCGAGGCCGTTTGAGGAACCTCAGACCTTCAACACCTTCTGTTCTATTTTTAATTTCAGCCTTAAACTTCTGATTTTGCTTGATGTTTGGAATAACCGTAATTGTAACCTGCTTGTAATGTGCTTTGCCCTAAATTCCCGATGAGTCTTTTCAGCCTTCGCCAGCGAGCGAATGTCAAAGCAAAGTGGCAAAACGTGCAGCTACTCTGAAAGGAAGCGACAGAGCCCGCCACCCGGGTCCGGCGAGGGCTCGTGCCGTGGTTTGATCACCCCAAATTAGCTTTGTGCTAATTACTCCCCGTGGTAGTGGCAACGCAGACGGGGGCGCTTGCAGCCGAGGTCTGGCTGGCGGGGGCTCGGGGCTCCCAGGGGCTGGGAGATGGGGCGCAGGGTTTGGGGACCTGGCTTTAGGGGCGCCTGGCTGGCGTGGTGGCAGCAGGGAGCGGTGCCCTCGGTCAGCATGGGTGGGGCAACGCCTCCAAAATCCATCCCAGCCGAGCGAGGCAGCGGGACAGCGTGCGCGGGCTGGGGCAGCGGCGGTGACGGACAGTCCCTACAGCACTGAATCTACCTCCTAGGGAAATCTGAGAAATGGGTGTTGCTATGTCCTATTTCAAGGTAAAGTTTTAATCAGTTTGCCCTCGGCTAAGCTCTTGGGCTATCGTGGTGCTATTGTAAAACGTTGGCAGCTTAGCACAGTAGGGCTGGACTCACGGCTCCTAGCCCGCGGGCTGAACCCCGTCCCCAAGCAGCTGGGGCTGGGCTGCGGTGCCTGCGACCCAAACGGGACAAGGCACGGCTCCTGTGCCCGGGGAGATGGGGTTCCTTTGCTTTGTGGTGGTTTTGAGACCCAAACCAGCCGTGCCAGTGGGCCCTGTGAGCGTAGAGAGCGAGTGGAGCCACGTGAAGCAAGCCAGGCGTCCGCTACCTGCATGTTCTGTGTGTCCGTTTGGTACTGAGCTGGTTTCAGTTTTTGTTTTTTTTTCTGATGTTTCCGAGTTGTTGACTTCAAGGAACTGGGTTTTGTGTATTTTTTTTTTTTTTTTTTAAAGACACTGGGAACTTGTTTAAAAGCAGAAGCAGCAGCACCGGGAGGCTCGAGGTGGAGCGTGGCTGGAGCCGAGGGCGGCCCCAGTCGATGTGCAGGGACGAGGGCAGGGCGCTTGTGCTGGCCTGGGGGGGAGCAGGGTGCTGGGGGCACGCTCCCCACCCCTCCCCTCTCCCTGCCGAGGGCACGTTACACCCCGATAACCCACAGCACTGCCTTCACCTGCCCCGCCAGCCCGCTCCCCTCCGAGACACCAAGCATGGGATAACACACCCGGTCCCAAGCAGCCTCTGCCATCCTCCGGTGCCATGCGCCCTGGGTTGGGGTCCTGGGGAGGGTGGCCTGGCCCCGAGGGGACCCACCTGGGTGTGCAGGGGGCTGCCGGGGAAGGAAGCTGTGCCCACTCCCCCTCCTTTGCTGCCAGGGAGGGGACGGGCGGCGTGGGGACTCCCTGAGGCCAGGACACCGCCCTGTGCCACCCGCTGGGGGTGTCCTGCCCGGGGTTCCCTCCTCGGGCTTCACTGAAGGAAATCGTGGCTGGAGCAGGGGGTGCCCGGCCCAGGGGAGGGGCTCCAGGGGGCCGCGGGGTCACTCAGAGCTGTCCAGGTCGCGTCTGTCGGTTCTAAGCGGGAGTGCCAGAGCGGGTGAGAGAAACCTACATATTTCCAGCATGTATATTATTTTTAGAAGAGGGAGAGGGGAGAGTCTTGGACCATTGATTACTTTCATTTTGCTCCCCTTAGACTGTTGGCTGTGTATGTGAAACTTATAATGAAAAGAGGGTTGCCCTGCCCAGGTGCTCCCAGAACATGTACTGTAATTCTTTGTATATAGAAGAAAAATTACTGTAAAGTAAAGTTTAACTTTACTCTCGATGTCCTCTTGTGTTTTGTCTTGCTGAGGGGGCGGGGGGCAGCTCGGGGGGGGGGCCCCAGCCCTGCTACGATGCCGACCATGGGCACCGGGCACATGGGGTGGGGATGGGAGAGCCCCAAAGGTGGGAGGCACCTCGAGCTCACCCAGGGGACAAACCTGGTGCAGAGTGACCCCGTGCCGCACGGCAGGGATGGGGCAAGCCAGGACAAAGCCTCGGGACACATCCCGGGCAGAGCCAGGCTGCAGAGCGGGCGCAGCAGGTTTGGGCAGGCCCCGGGAGCTGCTGAGGAGCGCAGAGGGCGCAGGAGCTCGGCCCCGGGTGCAGGGACGGGGTCAGACCCCAAGCGTCACGTCCGCCAGCCCATTCTCAGACCACAATGCATTTTATTTACATTGCACACCTCGGGAGGAGACACTTAAATAATCTGCAAAGAATCAGGCGCTGGTTCAAGAGAATAAGTTAGGGGCTGCTGCTGGGGCTCGGGGATGCAGCTCCTGCGGGTATGGGGTCGGGGGGCAGCGACCCCGCAGCTCCTCACGCCGCAGGAACCTTCCAGCCCCACGCAGCTCTGCACGCCGAGTCCGGGGAAGGGAGCAAGTCCTTGGGGCCACGCTCCCTTTGCGCGCCGCGGACGGCTCGTGCAGCTAAAATACAGCAAGTAAAAAACGGGAGGAGTCCAGCGAGCGCCAGCCGCCCCGCAGCAGCGATTCCCTTCGGGCATGGGGCCTCAATGGTGGCAGCAGCTGTAGAAGTAGGTGCTGCTCTTCTGCGCCAGGTCGACGCCTTTCTCCTCTGGAAGAGAGCGGAGGAGGAGGAGGAGGAGGAGGAGGAGGAGGAGGAGGAGGAGGAGGAGGAGGAGGCTGCTGACACGTCCACTCCGCGATGACAAACGGAGCCCAGAGCTCGCAGCCCCCAAAAAAGTCCCAAATCCCCAAAAAGTCCCAAGCAGGGTCCGCGTCTGGCTCCTCCTGCCCCCTGCCTGGGGTGAGGGGACAGGGGGTCACCGTGCACAGGGACCGTCCCCAACAGCGTGGCACGAACCCAGCTCAGAGCCTGGGGGGGGAGCAGAGCCCCGGGACCCCCGCAGCGTCCACCCCTGCACCCTCCCCACGGGACCCCCTGGCACCGGGCGCTCGGCAGGGTCCCTGCCCGCTCACCTGTCATCACCTGGAAGGCGGTGAAGTGGACGTAGTCCTCAGCCACCTTCTGGAACAACTCATCTGCGGGGGGGACACAGGGGCAGCGTGGGTGCCAGCAGCCCCCCCAGACCCCAGCACAGCCACCCGCCAGCCCCACACGAGGGGTGCCACCACGGCACGGGCGCTGCTCACCCACGCTCTGCCCGGTCTTGCTGGAGGTCTCGAAGAGCTCTGCCTTCACCTCTGAAACGAGGAGCGGGGTCAGCGCTGCGGGACGTGCCCCTGGGGCTGGGCTCCCCCCGGCTCCCCCCTCAGCTGTGCCCGCTGGCCGGGACCCAGGGCACGGCCCCGCAGAGCTCCCGGCCCAGCTGGCAGCGGCCCCAGCCCGCGGGTTGGGACGTGCTGTGCTCGGGGAGGCTCCTGGCAGAGCTGGGGCCCTGCTGCCATGCGGGGAGCCCTGGTACCGGCACCGGGGGACGGGTCAGGGCAGCGGGGGGGGCAGCCCGGGGCCGTACCGTCAGCGTAGTCCTGAGCATCGTGGAAATCGACCGCTCGTGTCCGGGGGTCGTCCTCCAGCAGGTCGCTCTTGGTGCCGCACAGGTAGATCCGGCAGCCCTGGGGCCGTGGTGGTGGTGGGGGGGTGGGCGGTGAGCACTGGGCACTGCCCCAAAACCACCCCGAATCACCCCAAAACGGGGCCCGTCCCCGTATTTATTTACCTCCTCGCAGTTCTGCAGCTCGTTCACCCAGAACTTGGCCCGCTGGAAGCTGCTGCTGTTGGTGAGGTCTGGGGGAGAGGGGTCAGGCCCTAACCCCGGGCCCCCCCTGTCCCCCCCCACGTCCCCCCCGGTACCGTGACCCCCGTCCCCCCGTGCCCGTACCGTAGCAGACGATGGCAGCCCGTGCCCCGCGGTAGTAGATGCGGCTCATGGCCTCGTAGCGCTCCGAGCCGGCCGTGTCCTGCGGGGGGACAGCACAGGGGGGGTCATTTTGGGGCTGTGGGGGGGGGGTCCCGGTACCGGGAGGGGGGTGGCTGGGGGTGGCTGCAGGCCCTGTGCTCACCCAGATGCCCAGGGTCACCGCCTGGTCCCCCACCGTCATCACCTTCGCCACGAAGGCGGCACCGATGGTCTGCAAGAGAAACGGGGGGGGGGGAACGGGGATTTTTGGGGGGGGGGGGCACGGAGGGGCACAACGGGGACCGGGACGGGGACAGGGAGGGGAACGGGGGTGGGGACAGCGGGGGGACACGGCGGGGACACCCAGCTCGGGGCTGGGAACCGGGGTGGGGACACCGGGGGGACACGGAGGAGGGGGGGGCAGTCCCGGGGGGGTAACGAGCATGGGACGGAAACCGGGGCGGGGACACGGGGTGGGGGGGGGGGGAAAAACCGGGGCGGGGACACGGCGGGGACCACCCGGGGCCACCGGGAGCCGGGAGCGGGGCGGGGACAGCGGGGAGGGGACAGCGGGGACCCGTCGGGGAGGCTCCGCGCGGTGTGGGGGGGGGGTCCCGGTGCCCGGGTGTCCCGGGGGGGGGGTCCCGGTGTCCCGGGGGGGGTTCCCGGTGCCTCACGTTCTGGTAGGGCCCGGCTCGGAAGCGGCGGTGTGCGCAGCGCTCCACCAGGCTGCTCTTGCCCGCGCCCTCCTGGCCCAGCAGCACCACCTTGGCGTCCACCCGCCGCCCGCTCATCCTGCCCCGCGCCGGGGGGGGGCGGCGCTACCGGGGGGCAGGGGGCGGGGCTACCGGGAGGGGGAAAAAGGAGGGGGCGGGGCTCGAGGGCGGAAGTGACGTGAGCCGCGCGAGGCCGGAAGTGCGCGGCGGAGCAGGAGCGGCGCGGCGGGGCGGAGGCCGCATGGCGGCCGCCCAGCGGGCCCGGGCCGCAGCGGGGGAGGAGGGGGCGTAGAGCGGCCCATGGGGAAGTACTGCGCCAGCCTGGGCGTCCTCAAGGGGCCCTGGGACCAGGTCTTCGCCGCCTTCTGGCAGCGCTACCCCAACCCCTACAGGTGCGCGGCCCCCCCCCCCACCTCCCCGGTTCCCCCCCCACCCCCTCCCCGTGTATCCGCAGCCCCCCGGGGGGTGCCCCCGGTGCCCCCCTGACCGCCCCCCCTCCTGTTCCCCCCCCTCCCCCCGCAGCAAACATGTCCTGACCGAGGACATCGTGCACCGGGAGGTGACGGCCGACCACAAGCTGCTCTCCCGGCGCCTCCTGACCAAGACCAACCGGATGCCGCGCTGGGCCGAGCGCTTCTTCCCGGCCAACGTCGCCCACTCCGTCTACATCCTGGAGGACTCGATCGTGGACCCCAAGAACCGAACCATGACCACCTTCACCTGGAACATCAACCACGCGCGCCTCATGGTGGGTGCGGGAGGACAGGGCCGTGGGTGGGGGTGCTCCCGGGCAGCGCTGACGGCCGGGGTTGTGCCCGCAGGTGGTGGAGGAGCGCTGCGTCTACCGGGTGAACCCGGAGAACAGCAACTGGACCGAGGTCAAGCGGGAGGCCTGGGTCTCTTCCAGCCTCTTTGGCGTCTCGCGGGCTGTCCAGGTGAGTGCTGCCCACGGCCCCTGCTTTGCCCCGCTATTTGGGGAGGTTTTAGTGCTGCTGTTTCATCCTGCTGCGCTCTCCCTCTATCCTGTGCTGTTTTTCTCCCACAACCCTCACAACCTTTTGGGAAGCCCCAAACCACCCACCCCAAGCAGTGTAACACCTGCGAGGCACTGGGGGTTTGGCCAGGCTGGGACAGCGCCCCACACGCAGCCCCCCTGTATGAGCAGGGGTCCGGGGCTGCACCCTCACAGGCTCTTCCTGTTGCAGGAGTTTGGTCTGGCGAGGTTCAAAAGCAACGTGACCAAGAGTACCAAGGGATTTGAATACGTGCTAGCAAAAATGCAAGGTGAGCACCTGAGAGGGGAGGCTGCGACTGACTGGGATGGGTGTCTGGGGGTTACAGGTCACGCTGGCATCACACCAGTCGATGGACAGGCCACAGCTTGAGCTAAACTGACCGTGAAATCCTCGTCTTTGCCCCAAGGGCACTGCGTGCTCTTATGGAGTGGAGCAGGCAGCGAGTCCAGGCTGTGCTGAGGCCTGCAGGGAGGCTGGGCAGGGGTGGAGCTGAGGCGGGCGGGGGAAGCAGCAGGGCAGCAGTCACGTGCCCGCAGCTTGCTGCGACGTGCAGCGATGCACACGGGTTGGGAACACAGGGTTCCTCTTCTCCCTGCGTGGGGCGGGGGCAGAGCTCGGGCTCAGGACAGCTCGCAGCAGCCAGGGCAGGGTTAGCCAGGGCTGGGGATAACGATTTGTTGTTACAGGAGAAGCTCCTTCCAAAACGCTGGTGGAGACGGCCAAGGAAGCAACCGAGAAAGCCAAGGAGACGGCTCTGGCTGCCACGGAGAAAGCCAAGGACCTGGCGAGTAAGGCGGCCACCAAGAAGAAGCAGTACGTGTGAGGGGCCAGGCACAGGCAAGGGTCGGGCTGCACCACAGCAGGCGGGAGCCTCCTTAGATTTTATATTTTTAAACAAAGCGTACTAGTCTGACAATCAGCTGCTGGTAGATCCTTTCCAAGATGTAATTATCATTAAAAAGTCAACTTCCACCTCCGACCTGGCCTGGGGCTGGCCTGTCTGGCGCAGAGCTGGGCTTCGGGGAGGTGCAAGAAGAGCAGGGAGGAGGCGGAGGCGGGTTGGACCAAGTGCCTTTACTGGGATAGTGGCGGGTATGTACAGGGGAGGGGGGCCGGGGCGGTGCGGGGGGCGTGCGGGCGAGGTGCTCGGCGCCCTCACTTCCCCTTCCTGGCCCCGGCGGGCGGCGGAGCGGGCCAGTAGCCGTGCCTGGCGGGGCTGGGCGCTGCGAGCTGCTGGCAGCTTCAGGCTGGGCCGTGTCCCCGCCACGGCCGGGCCGGCTGCCAGCGCCTCTTCCGCCCCCCTCGAAGTGCTTTGCTGCACGCAGCGGGGCCCGTTAGCCGCGCCGTGCCCGGCTCTGCCCGGTGTCCCCCGGTGCCCCGTGCCCGGGCGGCGAGGCCGGCAGCGACATTTCCAGCAGGAGGAGGTTGGCAGGGTGCGGAAGGCGGCGCTGTCAGGACCAGGCCCCGCGGGGGCTGGAGTAGCTGTGGTCCCTCCCGGTGCTGAAGGCGGCCAGCGGCGGCAGCTCCGCGCCGAACACCGCGCCCTCCACATCCACCTCGGCCTCCTCTGCGCACGGCAGCGAGGGTCAGCACCCGGCAGCCACCCCGCAACCCCCCCGCAGCCCGAACCCCGCTCCCCGCACTGACCTCCGTCCGAGCCCGAGTGCTCGGAGAGCCGGGACGAGTCCAGGCTGTCCGCCCCCAGGCTGTCCGCCCGCAGCCGCTCGCTGCCCGCGGGGCCCAGCAGCCGCTCCAGGCGCTGCCGCAGGCTCTGCTGCTGGCTGCGCAGCCGCTCCTTCACCCGCCGCGCCCTCACCTCCTGCTCCTGCAGCCGCTGCGGGGAACGGGGCGGGTACAGAGGGGGGGCTGTCACCGGGTTTGGGGTGGCGGGATGGGGACGGGGGGGGTCACAGCACCCTGCACCGGGCTGGGCTCACCTGGATGTGCAGCCGGGCGCGGTGCAGGAGGCTCAGCGTGGTGGGCCGGGTGCCGGTACCGGCGGGCACCTGCTGCTTCAGCTGCTCCAGGCAGCGCCGGAGCTGGGCTCGCCTGCGGCCGGGGCGGGCGGCGCTCAGCAGGTTGGGGGGGCACAGCCCGGGATCCCCCCCTCACCCCCGGTACCGGGCACCAGCCCCGCTCCCGGTCCCCCCGCACCCTACCTGTGCTTCTCCAGCGCGTTGTGCACCGACCTGCGGGAGAGCGGGGGGGCGGTCGGTACCGGCACCGAGCTCCCGGTACCGGCACCGGGCTCCCCGTGCTCCCTTCCCGGTTCCCCCCCCCGCTCACCGATCGCCCCCCGCCGCCTGCCGGGCCCGGGCGGGGCAGAGCGAGGCGTAGCCGTGCTCGGCCTCCGCGAGTGCGGTCGGGGCCCGGTTGCTCCTCCCGGTGCCGGTGGCGGTCCCGGTGCCGCGCTCCCGGCGCTCCAGGAACTCGGCCGCCCGCAGCAGCGCCTGGATGCTGCCGCCCGCGGGCTCCATGCCTGGGGAGGGGGGGCACGGAGGGGGCGGGGCCAAGCGGCCGGGGGCGCGCTCCTATTGGCCCCGCCGCGCCCCGCGGGGATGACGTAGGCGCGCCGGGGCGGCACGTTCGCGCGGGAAAGCAGCGGCTTCAAATTTGAATCGGCGGCAAGGGGCGGGGCCGAGCCGGGGCCACGCCCACCGCGCGGTAGCCACGCCCACATCGTGCTGGCCACGCCCACTCCGCGGGGTTAAAGCCACGCCCCTTAAAGGGGCCGGGGCGCAACTGGGTGGGTGCGCGCGTGTCTAGGGGTGTGTGCTCACCTGCGCGTGCACGTGGGGGGTGCGATCACGTGCGCGTGCACGAGGGCGCGTGCACAGTGGCGCTGCCGCTCTCCCCCCTCACCCCCATCCCACCCTGCTGCCAGGGGGGCACCCTCACCCCCCTGCCCCTGCGCACCCATGGGTGCCCCAGCACCCCAGCACCCCAGGGGTGCCCCCCCAGCACCCATGGGTGCCGCCGCCCCCCAGCCCCGCAGAGCACAGCCGGGCAGCAGCACACAGCACTCAGGGCTCTTTATTGGAACCTGCCCCTGCTGGAAGGGAGCGCACCAGGGGGGGTCCCCAGGGGCAGGCAGCCCCCCCTGTGCCGCACCCCGGGGTGCGGTGGCCCCGCCGTCATGTGAGGGCTGTGAGGGCTGTTTGCACGGCTCAGGACGGGCCCCGGGGGCGGGGGAGACTCTGCCCTAGGCCCAGCAGCAGCCAAAGTTCAGCTGAGAAAACGCAACGAAGCAAAAACGGCACCAGGCAGAGCTGCGGCCCCGCAGCAGGAGCCTGGTCGCGGCACTGGGAACCCCACCAGGAGCCCACCGGGAGCGGGGCACGGCCACCGTGCGTGGGGTGAGGCGGTCCTGCGCCCACTGCGGCCACACCAGCACAGCACGGTGCCGGGCACGGAGCCCTACTGCCGTGGAGCCGCTCTGCAGCCTCAGCACAGCCTCTCCCAGCGGTCCTGCATCCTCCTATGGAGCCAGGTCCTGCAGCCGGGGGGTCCTCACCGGCTCCGGGAGCGCCGGGGCGCAGGGGAGAGGTGCACGGCGTAGCAGTGTGTGCAGACACGCACGGGTTTCAGCTGGCCATAGTGCGGCAGTGCAGCCGTGTGCGGCGAGCAGCGGGCACAGAAGATCTGTGGGCACAGGGACGGAGAGGTGCTGAGCAGCTCCAGGACCCCCGCAGCCCCCTGCCCGGCCCCGGCCCCCCCCCCGTTACCTTCCCACAGCTGCGGCAGTGGTGCCGTCGGCGCAGCAGGGTGAAGGGCGCGCGGCAGGCGCAGCACTGGCTGCACGTGCTGTCCGGCACCCACTCGGGCCGGCTGTGGGCTCCTGCTGGGGAAAACACAAAGCTGAAAGCCCCCCCATAGCCTCATCCTCAGCCACAGCAACGTCCCCAGCCCTGCGGTGCCACCGGGCTGGTACCGTGCCCCAGCCCAGGGCAGCCCCGCTCACCCCTCACCTGCCCTCCGGAGCCCGGCTCCCTCCGTGGGGCTGTGGCACAGGGGGCAGTCGGCCACTCGGGGTGCATCACCCATGAGCAGCTCGCTGTCCTCTTCTGCGGGGACAAGAAAGTAGATTCAGGTTCCAGGTGCTGCAGTCACACCGTCCCCACGCCTGCTGTCACGGCCCCGTCTTGCCCGGAGGCGCGGAGCCGTGCCCCGTGCCCCGTTACTCACTGCTGGTCCCCAAATCCTCCGAGGGGTCCCCCTGCGAGGCGACAATCTTGAAGACCGTTTTCAAGATGCTCCGCAGGTCGCTGGCGAAGTTGGTCTGGAGCTGATCGGCCACCCCTGAGCCACAACAGCGGGGCTCTGGGTGCTGCCGGGGGGTCCGGGGGTGGCCGGGGGGGGCGGCGAGGCGCTCACTCACCTGAGATGCAGACAAAGAGGGTGTGCAGCATGTCCTTGGTGCTGCTGTAGTGGGAGCGCAGCTCCGACCAGCGGGCACCTGGCGGGGCCTCAAGCCGCGGCCCTGGGCTACTTCTGGGGGGCTGGGGGCTGTACGGGGGGAGGCGATGGTTACCCATGGGGTGGCACGAAAAATTGGGCCCCGCTCTCTCCCCATGCAGACCCCCACGTGCCTGTCTGTGCCGGGGCTTTCCACAGCATCGGGGGGGCCCAACCGCTCCATGCAGGTGTGGGACAGGGGGGTGGTGTGGGGGGCTTCCAGGAGACCCCATGGAGCAGGGGGGCTCGCTCCGGGCATGGCTGCCCCCCAGGATGGAGGAGTGGCCGGACCGCGGGGATCCTCAGATTCGGCTGCGCACAGGCTCCTCTCCAGCAGGCAGAGCTCCTCCGCCGACAGCACCCGCAGCAGGTCCCTGCGGCGAGGGGACAGGGTCAGCCCCGTGTCACCTCCCCACTGCCACCCCGCGGAGGCACCCGCGTCCCCCCCCCCCCCTTTTTGCCCCCATACCTGATCTTCTTCAGGAGGTTGTAGAAGGGGCTGAACACCCGCGACATCTGCTCGGGGCCGCGCTCCAGGCTGAGGGGACCCTCGGGGTAGATGAGGAGGCCGCTGCGGAGGGGACAGCGTGTGACATGGGGACACGGGGTGGCTGCTGGCACGGGGCACCCCCGGGCACCCCGTCTGCAGGGGGCTGCACCCACCTGATGATGGCCAGGCGCGGGATGGTGAACATCAGCAGCGGCTCATAGCCATCGATCATCTCCTGGGTCAGGTACCCCGAGCGCAGGGCTCTGTTGGGGGGGGGGACACAGCCTTACAGCGGGGCTGGGGCAACACCGGGGGGCTCAGAGCCCCAGCGCCCCCCGTCCCCATGTGCCGTGTCCCCTCACCTCTCCACCGTCTCGCAGAAGAGCACGATGATCTCCTGCTGCCTGTAGATCTCCTCGGGGGACTTCACAGCCACCAGCGAGGACACGTAGCTGGAGAGCCAGGGCGGGGGGGCAGTGAGGTGCCACCAGCCTCCCCCAAGGACCCCCCACCCCATCATCCCGGCCCCCACCTGAGCTCGAACTCCGCGAAGAGCCGGTCGAACTGCACCAGCGCCGCCCGCACGGGCTCGGGGTAGGTGCCGGGCTGGCTCAGGCTCTGCTCCCGCAGCACCGTGCGCACCAGCTCCAGGCTGCACAGCAGGTTCCTGGCCCGCGGCCGCAGCTGCGCCCCCTCCGCCTCCTCCACCTCGATGAAGGTCCCCGCCAGGAGACACTGCCGGGACCCGGGGTGGGGGGGGGTCAGGAGCCGGCCCCCGGGGGGTCTGCCCGCGGCGGGGTGCGCCCCTCGCCCTCCCAGCTTGGGGGACCCGGCCTCCATCGCCCCCTCCCCGGGGCGCAGGGCTCACCTCGGCGGCGAACAGCATGTGGTTGCCCAGGTTGTCCACCAAGAGCTCCTCGGGGAATTTGACCAGGTAGTCGCGGCTGTGGCGCTGCGTGGGGATGCACTCCTCCATGATGCGCTCGATGACGGCCAGCAGGTGAGCCTGGGGAGGGCACGGGCGTCACCCGGCCACCCCCCACCCCGAGGGGACTGGGAATCGCACCAGGGTGGGGGTCCCCGCACCGTAACCTGGCTGAGGTGGAGCTGGTTGAGGAGCACCAGGTACTGCTGCGGGTCCAGCTCGGCGTCCAGCCCGTTGATCTCGGCCACCACCCGCGTCACCCGCTCGTCGGCGAAGAAGAACTGCGAGAGCAGCCGGGGGTCGGAGCGCTGCGGGGAGAGCGGAGGGGCAATTTGGGGGTGCCACAGGGGGGGAGTGCCACGCCGCAGGGTCTGCTCCGAGCCGGGCAGCCCCGTGCCGAGCGCTCCCGTCCCCACCCAGCCGTGCCTCAGTTTCCCCAGGGCAGAGCAGGATGAACAAGCTCGCCTGCATCCCGCGAGCGTGGGCACGGATCCGTGCGCAGCCGTAAACACCGGACCGGGTGAAAGGTCCGTGGGCAGGGAGCACGGTGGGCACCGGGATACGAGAGCTCCGTGCCCCGCTGCTCCCTAAATCTCTCCGCGGGGCCGGGCCCGCAGGGCTGGGGGTGCCGGGGCGGGCGCGGAGCTGCCCGGTCCCGTCCCGCTCCCGTGACTCACCGGCCGGGCCCGCCGGCACCGCTCCCTCCTCCACCCTGCCCCGGGAGGGCCAAGCCCCGCCGGGCTCCCGGCACCCACCGACGTCGCGGCGAGTCCCCGAGTCCCGCTGCCCGGCCCCGGTGCCCCCCGGGGCCGCCCCCTCCCTCCGCAGCGCAGCCCCGGGGCCGCCCCCGTTGCCCGCCCGGTAGCACCGGCAGCGCTCCCCCCGACGGGGCTCCGTCCGTCCGCCCCCCGCCCCGGTGCAGCCCCCGGTGCCCACCGGCCCCAGTACGCGGGGGTCGCCGCTCCGGGGGCGCCGGGGCTGGCGGTCGCCCCGTTCCCGGCACGGTCGCCGGTGGCCCCGACGGGGCGGGTGGCGGTGTCCGCCGCCGCCGCTCTCACCTTGGGCCGGTGCAGCCACCTCCGGAGGGCGGCGGGCAGCATGGCGCGACCGGGAGCTCTGCCACCGCCGCCCGGCTCCCCGAGCCCGCCGCTCGCCGACGGGGCGGGCCGGCACCGGGCACCGCCCGGGGGCGTGACGGGGCGGTGTCCGCCCACCTTCGGGTCTACGGCCGCGGGGACACGGCCGGACGGACCCCGGCCCATCCCTGCCCGCCCCGCCCGGCCCGGTTCGCGGCTGGACCCGGGGCTTGCCCGGTGCCCGGTACCGGGAGGCGGCGTCCCCCCGACGGGCCGGTTCCCCGCTGCCGTCTCACAGGCGGGCGGCTCCCGTCGGGGCGGGCGGGGTGCCCGGTGTCGGTGCCCGGTGTCGGTGCCCAGTTCCCACCCCGCTCCTCCCGGTTCCCCCCGTGCCCCCGTGTCCCCTCCGGTGCCCGCCCCCGCCGTCCGTGGGCAGCAGGGCGAGCCGGTCCCTCACGGCACCGTGCCCCAGGACGTTGCGGACGGCGCTAATTGCGATGGCTCAGAGCTTAATGAGCCCAATTCATCAGCCAAAAATCCACCGGGACGCGGCGGGGCGGGGGGGAAGTCCCTGAGTCACAGCCGGTCCGGGGGGTGTGGGGGGGCCCATACCGGGGCACCGTGCCTATGCCCCGTGTCCCGGTACCGTGAAGCGGGCAGCGCTCGGAATTGAGGCTGGGGGCTCGAGGGGGCACCTCCGAGCCTCAAACCCCGAATTTTGGGGGGGGGGCGGGCAGGGCCCGGCGGCGGTTCCCGTCGAGCCTCCTCCGGCCGCGGGGCGGCGCCCCGGTGCGCGGCGCTGCCCGCTCGGGAAATGGCGGCGGCGGCTTCGCCTCGCCGGGCCGCCCCCCCCCGGGCAGGGGCCGGCCGGGCCGCGCCGCCATATTGGCTGT